AACCAGAACATAACCTGAATGGCGAGGGGTGAACTACCCTGCCATTAAGACAAATGCCGGGGATTATTCTGCCCCATTATGGCAATGTCTATCTAAATGATAGTCCACAAGATGAGTTGGCACTCTCTTTGCTCTCTGAGGTCTAATGTCCTGTTGAGCAGTTTCAACTGGTGCTGTGCCTCTATCGGGCCACACGGATTGACACAACTGTCTCTAATTCAGGTTGGACCCACCGCTTCACCAGTGACACATGACGTATCATCTCCTTGCCATCTTTTTCAAGAATAACTGTGCATCCTTTTTCGGTTCACAACAGTGTAGGGGTCTGGTTTGAATGGTGTAGAAAGTTTGTTTCGTTTTTGTTGACGGAGCAGGACTTTGTCGCCCTGCTTCACAGTGCCATCTTTTGCTCTTCTAACTCTGTCGCATCTACACGTCCCTTCTCCTTCCTTGCAGCATCAGTCTGCGAACAACAGCATCCTGGCTTGCAGGGGGCTGCTGGCAGTCCATCAACAGTTCAGGAAGCTTGGTTATGATCTGGCGATTGAATAAGAGCTCTGCTGGACTGCGTCCTGTGACACAGTGGGGGTGCTGCGGTAAGCCATAAGGAAAACATCGAACTCACTGCGCCAGTCCTGCCTTCAGCATGAGCTGTGCATATGGCTTAACAGAGTGTCCTATTCTGTCTTTCAACTTCATTTGCCGAGGCCAATATGAGATCCAACTTTGAAAACACTGTGGCACCTGTCATGTCCTCCAGTATCTCATCTATGATGGGGATAGGGTGCCTCTCTCGCACTATAGCCTCATTTGCTCTGCGCGTGTCGACACACAATCTCGGCTCTTTCTTACCGTGAACCACAACTAGCGGAGACACCCATGGTGTTGGTCCGCTCACTCTTTCAATGACATCCATCTTCTCAAGTTGTTTTGAGTTTCTCATCCACTTGTTTTCGTAAACTGAATTTTTTCTGCAAACCGGCTGGGCTACTGGCTTTACACTGTTATCCACGTGCAGCTCCAGCTGGAAATCCTTAAGTTTGCCTAAACCTTGAAAACAGTCTTTGTATTTCTCCTGTAGCTCAGCTGTAAAAACTACTGTATCTTTTGGTTCGACAGCGTACACCTGTTCGATAGAGCCAATATGAAGTAGTCCCAACTTAACAGCAGTCTTTCTCCCAGCACACATATTCGTGCTTCTTTGATCACTTGTGACAGTTTTTGAATCCTCACTTGATTTCAAATCAGCAGAAAAAATCCCTCTTACATGGAGTGGTGTTGTTGAGCCAAATGGATAGACTTGTTTCTCTGGACGCATTTTATAGCTTTTTACAATGAACACAAACAACATGAATCCACAGTTCACTTTTTATGTAAAACTAATTTAACCGTGCCTACCTGGTGTATAATCAAACACACACAATCAGCATTGATATGCAACTGCAAGGACTCACATTTGTATAACACAAAAACACGCACACGTGTTAACTGGTAAGCTAACTAGCATTAGCTCGGCATGTAAACAAACTGAAACTCGGAAAATAAAATAAACATTTCAACACATAAATGTCCGAAACTCTAACATTACATTCTAAATGGGTTAATGAACAAAATACATGTTACCTAAAGTTTTTGGAACAGTTTTAAAACATTAAACAGAGACATGTTGGTCGCAGCACTAAACACACACACCCACCTTCAGCTCAGGAGACATTCCTTTGCTGAGGTACGTACGGTGGCCAGCTAGGAGCCCTACAGTTGCGCTATTAGACCACCAGGCGGCAACAAAGTAACATAAATATGACAGACACATTCATTTTGTAGAAATTCAAAAGAGGTTCATTCTAACCCTGTTACACTCAATAAAATATCAAAATGGTTAGTGGACATGAGCTTATATGGTTCATGATTCTCAGTTCTCGATCTCGGTTCTTGGTGTCACACTTCCCCAACCTCACCCATTCATTCAGTGATTGGGACTCTCCCATTCATACTCATTCATTCGGGCGATGCCGGGTTAGGTGTCTGGCCCAAGGACACAGCGAGGTTTGGCCCCGGCATTCTGTCGACTTTATATTTATCATCTACCCTTTTAATTTATACTTTTATATTAAAACGCAAACATTTACATTTAAATCTCATTTAGCTGATAGAGGGTTAACATTCTCAGTCTTTCTATTGTATGTATGTGTCTAAGTGTGTGTGTATGTAGAGGTGTGTTTATACTTAATTTTCTTTTGAAATTGTGTCATTCGATTTAGTTGATTTATTTGTCTCTTAAGAGGTCAGGTCCCTTGTATAAGCTTGTTGGCTTCTTCTACAATTCTACAATTCTACAATTCACTTAGCAGACGCTTTTATCCAAAGCGTCGTACATCAGAGAGTAAATACAACACAAGTAAGGATCTAGAAAAAAGGGAACAATGTGAGTAAGAGCAAACGATCAGCTTTGAGTCTGATTGGACACACAGGTGCTGACAGGAAGTGACCAGAGACAAAGCACAACATTGATGGCAGTTCTTGAGAGCTGTTAATCCTATTTCGATGTATTCTTATATGTGTGCTAATAAATAAATGAAAATAATTGTTGTGGTCATTTTGTGTCTCCTGCACATTTTCTCATCATGTGAGAACATGAACTCTGATGTTTTCGTGCGCTATGATTTGATTGGTGGAGGTCTCCTGTCCGGTCAGACCCTAATCTGATTTCCGGGACAACATGAACACAATGCTACCCTTAAATGTTGTCAATGACTAACAACAAGTGTCCAGTAGATTCTGTGAAACACAATAAATGCTTTCTTTAAATTAAAGGACGATGGATCCCTTTAGTCCTGCTGGGCTGTTGTTAACAGAGGGAGAGGATGTTGATGCTCATTCATGCGATGAAGATGCTGCTAACGTAGTGGATATTGTGGGAGATACATATGGGAGATATGAGGAGGATGAAGAGTACTGTCTGAACGAGCTGAATTAATATCGTAAGTAAGCGTTTTCACTTTGAAGTAAGCTATACTTCTGTCTTGCTGTTAGCTGTAGCCTAACGCTAACTAGAATGTAACTGTGGCCATGCTAGCTCTATGTATCGCTGTTTCCATAGAAACGTAAAACCAGTTATTTCTAATGAATGCTGAGGTTATTTGCATTTGTTCACAGCTTAAGTGTCTTTTTAAATCTACATATGCTTTTTCTGGCGACTTTAAATGTAAATGTTTGCGTTTTAACGTAAAAAAAACGAAACGTAAAAGTATAAATTAAAAGGTATAAATATAAGTTTGACATAATATCAAATGCCGGGGCGAATGTGGCACAACCGGCAGGGTGCTCGGCCCCCAATCGCAAGGCCGAGAGCCCGAGCCCCACCTCGGCCAAACCTCGCTGTGTCCTTGGGCAAGACACTTAACCCGGCATCGCCCGAGTGAATGCGCGTGAATGGGAAAACTACAATTACTGCATGAATGAGTGAGCTTGGGTAAGTCAGACATTGAGTGCTGAGACCACAAAGCTATATAAGCTCATGTCTGCTTACCATTTCTATATTTTATTATATATTAATATATTGCACATTCTTCTGCCCTTGTGTTTTGATTAATACTCTTGGTTGTGTGCATGCTTTTAGAAGAGTTTACTTTCTGCCTTGGTGTGACATATGACAGATTTCCGGCACCTGTTTATCTTTGTTGTATTTGATTTACAGTTTGTTGATTGTCCAATCAGCGGCCAAGGGTCAAAAACAAAGCAACGAGAGAAACGCAAAGACGGCAAGGAGAACACCAGACCAGGAAGAGACGAGAGGCAGATTACGGAAACGAGATGACCTATACTGCAGCCAGTCAGCAGGGGGAGCTCTACAAATAAAAGCTTCACTAGACCGGGGACCTTGTCCCGTCCATTACAGTGCGCGCCCACTGGCAACAACCATGTCACCTCACATTTGATTCGTGTGTGTGTGTGTGTGTGTGTGTGTGTGTGTGTGTGTGTGTGTGTGTGTGTGTGTGTGTGTGTGTGTGTGTGTGTGTGTGTGTGTGTGTGTGTGTGTGTGTGTGTGTGTGTGTGTGTGTGTGTTGCTACTTTAAGACAATACAGATCCGTTACCGTTAGTAGTTTAATCAGTTCAAAGCACTGCCAATATGAACTGTGAGTCCTATTGTTTTTATGACAGTAAAGATAGTCTATGAGCCTATACGTGAAACGTGTTCTTTGTTTTGAACCGTAATGATTTTGATAAATACAGAGAAAATTCATCTGTGACAGTGGAGTGTTCATTTGCAGTTCAAAGTGCTTCACACATTACTTACAGGCTGAAAACCATGTAGACTATAATAATAACAGCTTGGAAACAAGAGCAAATTAAAATATATTATTAGATAATACATTAATACAATGAAATAAGGGAAATAAAATACAGTCATACAGTCATTCTTAATATCAGGCAAGTTCAACAAGATCTCTAGATCTCCATGTCAAAGCAGCTTACCCTATCTCCTGAGCATCCTGAGGGGCCGTGATTGTTCATAACCTGTAAAAGCCTCAATGACGTCATAATTATCGCCGAGGGTCTTACGTTTTTTCGGCTGCATTAACACTGTCAGGTAAAACACGCACACCGGGCGATAGATGCGCTCTTTGTAGTCCATCAACCATAGATTGTAGTTTTTTGACACAGCAGACCCACGTGACACCTGCAACATCCGCCTAATGAAGTCGAAATCCCTCATCACAGCGGTTATCTTTTCCTATCCCGTCCCGTTTTTGGTCGAGGTCAAGGAAGATAAGGTGAATAAGAAAATAGAGGACCATTTTTTGGACTTTTCGAAAGTGGGCTACACCTTGAAACCACGGACTCTCTCGTTCTACTCCCGCGAGATCATGGGTTGCTTAGTTACCAACGTCAACAGATCCATTGACAAAACTAACACTAAACACTGTGAATCTTTGCTAGCCGCATGCTCAGCTACTTGTCAGGATTCGCGGATAATATTGAATTGTCAAATTAAATAATGGAGGTAAGTTCCTTTAACAAGTGTTTGTTCTCAAAAGTTTAACTTAATTTTGATGTTAAATGACATGAATCCGCCGTGTTATATTTCGCATAGGCTAATAAATGGTATTAAGTTTGTCTATTTTGACGTCCATTGAAAAATATAGCCTATCTATTTTCACCTGCTTCACTGCTCTCATTTCCTTTAGGGATAGCCTACCTACTGTAGTCCTAACAATAGCTGCTAATATCTGCCTCTTCAGTGGCCTAGCCATGTCCAGTAATGCCTTTTCTTTATGTCCTCTCTCTTGTGTCTCTGTTGTATGTAAAGGACCCGGGAGCAGGAGGAGAGGACATGTTTGGGTCCTTGGAGGAGTTTCAGAAGATCCTCAGTGAGCTGCTTGGAGACCAGAGTATGGACAAGGTCAGGGTGGAGTATGAGAAGCTCATCCAGGCTCTGAAGAAGTCCAGAGAGAACGAGAAGAGGCTGATGTCTAAATGCAGAGAGCTCAACGCAGAGATCGTGTCCGTCTCAACCAAAGTGGCAGCAGCCCTCAAACTGTCCCAGGAAGACGAGACCACTATTTCTTCACTAAAGAGGGTAAAGTATGAACACAGGAGGATACAGTGTAGCACGTCTCATTTACTTTTGTTTCTGAGCCTGATTTCAAACATTACGGTCAGAATTATGTTACAACAAACATCCATAAATTAAAATGAGTATATTTGGTGTTTGCTATGCAAGTTATACTTTATTGTATTAGTTGGCTGATGTTTTATCTTTTTGTCCACTTTAAACTCAATAACCAAACATATTCATATGTTACTTTGCTTTACTGCAGGAGCTCGATAAAGCTTGGAAAATGGTTGACACTGCTCATGATAAAGAGAAAAAAGACAAAGAGACCATCAGGAATTTAAAAGAAGACATTTCCAACCTAATAAAGATGAATGAACAGCAAACTGGTTTCTCTAAGGACCAACAGCAGAGGTGAGACATGTTTGTGGATTATTGTGTGAATACTGTCAGCAGGTAAAGGATTGTGAATAAACGATTGTCTTTTCAGTGAACGGCTAAAAGTAATCGAGGACCTGACTAAAGAAAGAGATCAGCTGTTGACAGATGTGGAAGATCTGAGAGATAAACTGAAGCAGACCTCTGTGACCCAGCAGGAGACTGAAGCCAAACGAGATGCTGCATTAGAGAATATTTCTCAGGTAAATCTGTTGAACACTCTTGAACAGTATGCTTACCTCGAAGGTAGATGGTATTGTTTTAACTTATTGGTATACTCAAAAGTAGATTATTTAACTTAGAACTCTGTCCTAAACATCAATAAAATGCTCTTTTGAGGTAATCTTTTTTAAACTTAAATTAAAGGTTATCTGAAATAGAATATCCCCTTCCAACTCTCATTGTCGATTCAGCTTCCAGCAGCCAGTTTATTTGCAAAAATGGAAAAACAAAGACATAAATACGTCTGATGAAAAAAGGAAAGATGAAGCAACAAGAACACATCTAAACCTAAACCAGCAAAATTTTCTAAATGAAATGAATACATGAATTAAATTTGTTTTAGTCAAATCAACAATCATTGAGTTACATGTTGTTTGTCACCCAGTCTTTGTAAACAGCCATGAGAGCCAAGGAGTTCATTTTGAAGACAAGTTTTCAACATCATATCTAAATCATGACCAGGTTTTGTTCCTTCCCTCTCCTGATCCTGTCTGGACGAGAGGAAGTGGGATGCAATTGAGCAATGGCAGTATCGTATACTGTAGTTATCATAAAACGTTAAGATTTATATTTCAAAAATAATGATGAGCCCAAAACAAACTAGCTCCCTTCACTTACAGTAACAATGCTTAGATGAGAGGAAACCACCAGAACTGCCTTAAGGGAAACAATAGGCAGAGAACTAACCAGCACGAACGAACAAACTGCACCTTGAAAGAAACGAGAAATGGTGAGTGAACGATGTAGACTGGGTTCTGTGGTGTTTCTGCAGACTCCATGTACGGATTAATAATCTTCCAAGCGGGAGTCCCTGGTTCAAATCCAACTAAGGCTTCTTCCCTGCATGTCTTTCCTTATTCTGTCTCCCGATTTCCTATTCTACTCATTGTCCTGTCAGAATATAGGCAGAAGCAAAAAGTCCCCCCCCCCCCCCCCATTTAGTTGCATTTATTCATTGCTCAATTGCATCTTTTCCTCCCACCAGAGATACATGGAGAGATGAAAGGATTTAAAGTGAGGGTGGAGAAAAGAGGAAATGTGTTTTAAGTGGCATGAGAAGTCCTTTCCTCTGAAGCGTTAAGTACAATTGGTTAGTGAAGTATTTACTTGTGCTGTTAAAGAATCAAAGTCTTTTTTCCAATCATTTGTAAACTTTGCTCCAGAGGTTGAATTTGAGCAGTTAACCCCGAGGAGGAAACACAAACTCAAGTGAGATGTGAACTTGTCACTGCTCTGTGTCTGACTCCAGCTCCAGCAGGAGCTCCAGGTGCAGCAGAATGAGATTTCTCGGGAGATGAGGTTTAAAGAGAAGCTGGACAAGGAGGTGAAGCAGCTGCACGTCGACATGGAAGCAAAGATGGCGGATATCAAAGCTCTGAATCTGCAGGGCCAAAGAGCAAAAGAGGAGCAGCAGAGACTGGAGCATCAGCTCAAAGAGCTCAAGGTTAGAAAATCTTTATCTGATGAAGTGTCATTCATTTACCTGAACCAGATACTTTATATTTAAGAAAATAAGGAATAAAATGTTTCCCATATAAAGAGAAAGCTCTTATTGTCTTGCAAAAAAGTCATACAGTAAAGTATAATTTAACAAAAGATCCATATGAGCACTGTAAGGTTCAGGAATATTACAATTTGAGGTAGTCAAAATAAAGAAGCTGTATAAAAAATGCAGATCTTTCAGTGATATTCAACCCAGAGCTGCCATGAGTGAATGAGAGAGAGAAGAGGAGGTCCATTCAAACTCACAGCTGGACACATAACGATTTTCCTCAAGTCCCTGTGTCTCTAATTCAACTTTTTTTTAAAAAGGAGAGCAGAACAAATGAGAGCAGAGGTGAAGGTGTCTCATCATGCTTTGGCAGCAGTTTCGTCCTGGCCAATGTATTTGTTAAATTTAGACAGTTTGCTCTACTTTGCCTGCAACACAATACTGGGTTCCCAGGACTCCTATTTTGTTGCCATGGTGATACATACTGGTATTGTACTGTATAGTTTTAATGCTGGTATCGTGACAACCCTATTACCATTGGCCGCTGACAGATCTAAAGCCACTCCCTGGAAGGTCAGACTTTTTTTTACTGTGAGAGAGATGTGAAATGAAAAATAGTTTCATTCTTGGTTTTGTTGTGTTTATGAGGACATGAGGAATGTATGCTTTTAGTGAAATGAGCTTTATTTATGCTGATGTCTTTTGGCAGGGTGACTATGAAAAACTTGAAATGTGCTTCAGTAAGGGAACCTTCAGTGAAGCAGAGTTTGTGTTCCCAGATTGAGAGAGAGATAATTAAAGGCAATGAGTAAATCATATAAAATACTGTGTTTAACAGTTTTATTTTTGGTCAATAAACCAAAATGTTAACCTACAAACAAATATGAATGGACTTAAACTAAGTGGAACATTTGTATAAAACAAGCTGCAGATGTTACATCATACAGTCAATGTAAATTTAACAGTGAGCAATAACACACTCTTACTGACCTGCAGGATGTTGTAGAGACAGATCCTTCCCTCTCTCTGATCCTTTCTCTCACTGTGACAGATTTTAAACGAGCGGACGAGCAAGGAGCTGGAGCATACGCAGGTGAAGAACGGCAAACTGCAGCAGGAGAGCGAGCAGCTCTCATCAGTCAAGGAACATCTCTCCCTGGAGAACCAGCAGAGCGCCAATGAGCTCAAGGTAAACAGTGCAGCGGCAAAGAGACAGCCCTGACTCTTTAGGTAACATACAATGTATATAATGTTGATTTATAGTGTTTATGTGAGCCTTTTACTAAGAATAATTTTAAATGTGAACGAGATTTATAGAGCCATACAGTAAAAGAAGATATAGCTCCTAACTGCAATGTTACACAACACAGAGTTGTTCCAATCACACTAACGTTAACAGATCACTACACCAAATAATTTATTTCTAAAATCTTAAAAAAGGGTAAAAGTTACATTTCTTTTTATTTATTGAGGCACGAAGACATATTTCTAATGATATCCGTCTTTTCTTAAACGTGCAAACATTTTAGTGCACCTTTATTCAGTAGTGTAACACCATACAGGTTTACTGCAGTGAGGCCATCATAGAAACAGGTAGAGCTTTGTAGACTTAACTTTTTCATGTAATACAATGTAGAAGTGATGAGACTTTTATTTTGCTAACTATTGTCTCTAGTCTGCTGCAGTGAATCATACCTGATGAGAGAATAGTGATTCTGCCCGATTTAACCACAAGGGGGCACTGCTCTTACAGTACATAATGTGTAGAGCAAATTAATGACAGGTCTAATGAGTTCATCACTGTTGCCGCTCCCAGAAAGACAAATGTGAATTAGTTATTATCATTTATTAATACATTTTCACTGAAAGGGGACATATTATGAAAAATCCACCTCTACAGTGTTCAGTGTACAGTGTACACTTAAAGAGACACACACACCAAAACGGAGCGTTCTGAGAGAGCTGGTTTATACAGGATCACAAACCTCCTCTGGTGCTTGATTCATGTTATTTTTTTAACAAAGCACAGCACAGATGTTTCATTTAGACCACAGAGGACTGTTAGAAAAGGTGGAGAAGGGGGATAATATGTCCTCTTTAAATCTTTGGAAAAGCTGAAGGAGGTAAAAAGAGGGAAAGAAGGAGACTAGAAAGAGGATGACTTTCAGCAAAGTGCCTGGGTTGTAATCCAAACCCTGGATGTACTCTCTAAGCTACAGGCGTGCAAGCTCTACCAGATTGACTTCCAGAGGGGCCCAGGTTATATTTATGTTAGAATAACTTTGAAATGTATTTAATGAGGGCTGTGGTCAGACAGACAGACGAAACTTTTGTTTTGGTCCTCAGTGAACCCGTTCTTCTTTTATGAATAAACCCTTTCCCATGCTTATTTCTGTTGTGTACTGATGCATACGACTCCTCTGCTCCAACTCCCAGATGAGAGAGGAGGAGGTGAATCAGATGCGTCAGGAGGTGGCCAAACAAACAAAAATGAGAGAAATCATCCAGAAGAAGTTCCACCAGATGGAGGAGCAGAAAGCTGACGTGGATGTGCAGAGGGAGACCCTGAAAGCTCAGGTCACTGGTCTGGAGAAAGGTAAGAGAGCTTGCTGTGATTGAACAAAGACTTTCTCCCAGTGTTTCTCTCCCTCAGTGCTGAGCTGTTTAACATGAGATTAGTTCTTACATCTAACATGCATAACAGGTGTTTTAGGACTGCAGGAACTTTTTCATAGTTTTAGGAACTGTTTGAAACCTTCCCCCTTTTTGTTGATTTAGCACCGCAGGAACTATGAACTCCTCTAGTTCCTGAAACCCCGTTTAAAGGAACCCTTTTAGCTCCTGCTTCTCAGAGTATGAACCATGGTGGTGCAAATGCAGACGGAAAAAAATCCTCATGGTGTGAGAGTGTAGGCACTCTCTTGTGGATAGTTCCTCTTCAAATAGTCCCCAGAACTGTTTGGTTTGAAAACATCTATTCTTGCTATTTGTTGAAAAGGAAGAGTAATTACCACTTCTTTAAAAATTGTACTCAGCGATGAATCTGCTGTAGAAGGTGTTGATTTGACTTTTTAATAGATTGAGGTCACAAATGATTTAGAGGAAAACAAGCTCATCTGTTTGCCTTACATTCACTGACACATACAATCAGTTTCTGTACTTGTGTCCATCTGTGTTTCTATGTACTTTTTCTATATTCTGCTTATTTTCCAAACATAAAAACAGTGAATAATATCACTCCTCTTCTCATACATTATGATGTTTTATTCAGTCTTTGGCCTGCTAAATTATGTATTAGTAAGCTCATGTGAGGAAACAGTTAATAAACACACACAAGAATGTTTACTTTTAGCATAAAAATAAACCCTTCTCATCTTTCTCTCACTACAGAACTTGAATCTTCCAAAAAACAAGCTGAAGTTGACAGAAAAGCCATCGAGGAGCTGATCAGAGAGAGAGACATCTTGAATAAGGTTGAGTTTCTTTTCTTTCTTTAAATGGGCGGGACATTTAGTGAATCAGTGTCACAAAAGTATGTCAGCTGAGATACTCCTTACACGCAAGTTACATCACAAACAATAAGGAAAAACAATCTCAGTTTCATTGTGCTTATTCAGATTGGTTAACACAAGGCCAAAATAGATTTGTTTCTAGCCTGAACACAGATTATGTATTCTCTGTACTGGAATTGTTGACAGTGAGATCAGCAGTAACTAGAGTAATGGTGACCTACAGGGTATTTATACCCATGTCCTACACTTTTGATCAACAAACAACTTTCTGTTGGATGTTACTATTTTACAGCTGTAATTACTCATTTAGGCATTTTTAGATTTAGATTTTATATTAATTAAAAAAATCTTTCAAAATCACCTCCTTTGGAAATCTATTGAAAAAACACCAGCTGCTTAAGAACATAGCGTAGAAAATCACTCCTCTTTTAGTTCAAAACGAATTTTTTTTAGTTCATATAAAAAATATGTCCTAAAGAAACCTTTATAGGGCACATTTATCAACATACATAATGTCACACAAACACAATAATTACTTGAGCGAGCCTAAATATCAACATTTATGCAAGGTCATTAAAGGAGGGGATGGTCATTTTTATACAGATACACTTTTTAAGATTCTGGTTGAAATTGTCTTTAGGTCCTGACAGTAACTCATGTGCTCTGTAAAAGGAACAAAGAAAACCTGTCATCTGTAGCAGTTGAATGCTTGTAAAAACTTTGACTGAGGGGCTAGGTGTTGAGGGAGCACTGAGGGAATGCTACTTTCAAAACATGCCAGTTTTCGAAAAATTCCTAACCCTGCCTTTAACTTTAGACTTTAAGTGACCATGACTGTTTTATTACTTATATATAGAAATACTCATAATGTGTTCCTGTACAAACCCATTCAATAGAACATGATCACAGCGTCACAGTCTACGGAGAAACAGCAGAACCTGGTGAAACTCCTCGAGCAGGACAAGAAGACCCTTGAACATGAGATCAATGGTTACCGCCAGGAAGCCCAGAAGCAACGCAAAATCATTCAGCAGCTGGAGAAAGAACGGGACCGCTACATCAACGAGACCAGCAGCCTCATGCAGAAGGCAGGATTGTTATATTGTATTTCTTCACAACAGTATCTGTAAACTTTCCTTCACCTCAACTTCTCTGAGGGTAACTTTTCTTTGTTTCCACAGGTGCAGCAAAAAATGAGTGATGTTGAAGTAAGAGAGAGTGAGATATTTGACTGGAGAAAAAAAGTCACAGAAGCTGAGTGCAAACTTAAACAGCAAGAAAACCTGCTGGAGAGTGTTGTTGCTGAAAGGAACCTCTACAGCAAAAACCTCATTGAGGCTCAGGTATGATGATTGTATTCTTATCATTCACATTGTATCTTCATCTCTGCAAAATGATCACTTTTAGATAAATTATTGTTGGATAAGACTGCTGTTGTTCGAGATCTTAACTTATGAAAGTCTTTCACAGTGTATATCGGGCTGTTTCTACTCCAATGTATCAAAATTTAGTTTAAATCAAAACTACATTAAGTGGATATAGTCCTACCCCTCAGGCATACCACAAAGATCCATTTTGGGCCCACTTCAAATGTTCTTATATACAGATGATCAGCCATTCCTTTTCCCTGATTTAGACTCAAATATTAGCTGATGATATGGTCGTATCTGTAAAAATACAAAAAAAGGATTTGCCTACGTTTGAGTTTATGCCATAGCCCATTTTACTGAGGGATTAAATAATCTACAACTAAATCTACAATTTAATGTGTCAGAAACTACCAGTTTGTTCTTCACTAAAAAGCTATTTATCATTGATCCACTAATTATTGCAATTGGACATAGGTCAGACACAAAGATCTCAGGTGATTTGTTTTTGTACTGAGTCAGGTACACGCTACAAGACTTTAAAATGTTTTAAAAACAACTAAATCCTCTCATGTCTCAAGATATTTAGTCAAAGACTAGAAGATGTCACAAGACTGGGCATCTTAAAGGGTCACTCTTCAAAGAACTACAACAAATAACAATTACAAACACTTAAATTTAAGAACTTTATTTGTTTTATTCCTACTAAAAAAATATAATTACACTTTTTATGAGCCACATTCACCTGACAAGTCCAGATAAACATCTTATATTAAGATATAAAAAGCAAAAATAAAGCCTCAATTGCTAAAAAAAAGTCTGCCAATGGGGCAAGCAAGGTATCTTGAGATGAGGTGAAGACATCATCTGGATTTGATTTTTTATTGTCATAGTATAACATACACATAAATATTTAACAATTGTAGTGGTCTAAAATGCTGCCCTCTCTCTCTTTTTCCATTGCATCCCTCTGCTGTCTTGTCTCTCTACTCAGGAAGAGATTGCAGAGATAAAGAGGAAGATGAAGACCATGAACAACCAGGTCACCAGACTGAGAGATGAGATCACGGGAAAGGAGCTGGCCCTCGCCAAAGACCAGCAGGAACAAAAGCGCTTACAGAAAGATAACGAGGCACTCAAGGTACTAAATGTAACAAAGCCACAGGAAATTGGAACTCACAAGCACGACTCAAAACACAGTCCTTGGTAAGAAAAAAAACAGTCTTTATACAGAATACAAAAAAGGGAACAGGCAAAGAAAGTTGATTCCAAAAGTTATCTAAGAGAAACAAAAAGCTTGTACGCTTCACACAGAGGTCAAAGACGAACTGGCACTGAAGGAAGGGAAGCCACAGACTAAATACTAAGGTGAGGGGGAAGACAACGAGATACAGCTGGGAACAATCAGGGCGGGGCAGACAATCACACAGGCGGGAAACACATGAAGGCAGGAAGTGAAGGATCTGAAATGAGAGGAGAGGTTAGTGACCCAAAACAGGAAATAATACAAGTAGAAATACATAACCTAAGACACAGAGCTGGACATGACACTACAGTCTTTTGAGGGTTTCTTTTGGATCCCTCATCCTTATGTAAATTGTCATCATTTAGCCATTTCGGTCACCCTATTTTGCACAAAAGTCAGTTTATAAAAACATAGGATACTGTGTTCTTTGCTGAAAGTTACCAGGGCACTGGGAACATTTGACGTTTTCTTCACCCTCGTCTATTCTTATAGACACAATATCTTCAAATTCACTCTGATGTCCTCTTATTATCTTATTATCTCCATGTATTCATGGAAATTTGTTGATCAAAATTCATTGTGACTATGTGAAAAGTGTCATGCACGACCTGCTCCAACCTCAGAGACAAGGAAGTGTGGACAACACTAACTCGATGAATACAAAGGAGAAATTCTTCCTGCATATTATCATATGCTGTTTTGTAAAGTGTCTCGAGATAACACTTGTCATGAATTGGCGCTATACAAATATTGATTGATTGATTGATAGTGACCACAGCATTTCTGCAAAGAGAGTTTTATCTCATCTGGTTTATATCTGTCAGACAGAATGACACAATCTTCAATTTATGTGCACAAACTTCCCACACTCTAAATTTATCCTCTTTTTTTTCTGTTGTTCAAGGATTTACTGACACTTACACGCATAGGAACACGTCCCCCCCCCCGGCTCAAGTAACACTCTCAGTCTGAGGGAAACACTGATGGATCTAAAATTGCAACCTGACTAGTTGGATGTAGGCCTTTAACACCAAACCAGTAATGGTAGTTCAGGCTTCATTTGTGGTACTTTCCAGCACTCTTTATGTCTAACTAGGGTATGTGCACACTCATCTTTGTGTCCTGCTGCAGGTGGAGCTGCAGACAATCCGGCTTCAGCTACAAGAAAAAAGCAGCTTGTTGACAGTCAGAAAGCAGAACAGCAAAAACTGCAGAAGATTATAGCAGACGCTGATGCTGAGCAGATCCAACAGAAGAAGCAGCTGGAACAGGTACAGAAAGAGAACAGAGACAGGATGAAAAAAACAAAGATCTATATCTGATAACTTGTTGGTGAATCTTCTCTGAAGGTTATCAGAGAGCGGGACAGCCTGGGCAAGCAGCTGCTCCGCCACAATGATGAGCGTGCTCTGCTGTACGAGAAGATCAGGATCCAGCAGTCCATCCTGAGTAAGGGGGACTTCCACTACAGCCAGAGGATCGAGGACATCCGCCTGCTTAAGCTGGAGATCAAGAGGCTCCGACGCAAGAAGAGCATCCTGGACAAGACTGTTCCTAACACAGAGGACTTGAGGTAACAGAGAGGCTTGCGGGTTAATGAGATCATCGGGTGGATGATGAGTTTGAAAAAGACAGTCAGCACTGAATTTGCTCTAACAGAAGAGCTGTGAGTAGTAGTAACAGGAAATCAACCTACGCCCGTCGATCATAAACCACATGCAGGTTTTACATAGAGAAAAGCAGTTATGAGGTGTCTAAGTGAAAATAGACACTGTGCACATTCTCACAAGAGAATGTCAGGTGAATCTCAATGGTAACATGCTGAGCTTTTGTACTCTCTAGTCTTGATGTACGCACATGAAGCTCAAACTCACTATAAGCTACACTCAGATTAATTGGCACCAAAGAAGTGTTGCGTTTCTGATTTATTTTGGATTCAGGAGGGACATGACACAAACACAGGTGTGACATCAGCAGATAGAGATATGAAGTGAGGCTTATAGCTCATATTCACTCTTTATTATGTGTTTATTGTGCAGACCTAGGTGAGATACTATTGTTACATAAATAAAAATGCATTTAACAGTTAGTTTTTATGGCAAATTGATAAAATAACAGTCAAGCAACTGTTTGCAAGTTAACTCCTTAGCAAGCATGTGGTCATATCATGTATAATGGTTTTAATTAAAGCAACTGGGTGTACCAGTAGGTAGATCTGTGCTGTTGCTTGTTGGCCATTAATCACTGGCACACGGTAAATCTGACTGAGGGCAGAAAGGAGAGAGAAAGAGATGACCTACAAAGTGCAGCATTTAGAGAAGAGGATTCAAATTAAAGATGGAGGAAGAGAGAGATCCAGAGCCAGAGGTAGGACTGACCTTCAAACTTCTAGTTTTTTTTAAACCTCAGTATCTTAAATACGGCTTTCCATATAAGAGTTCAAACGTCCTGCAGCCTGTAGTGACTACATAACCTGTATTTGAATAGTTCTATCTCTAACGTTTATTATCATGCATAGTAAACTTGACGTTTTGATGCAAAGGATGAGTAGTGTATTATCGTTGTTAGTATTTACTCCCTAAAGTTGTCCTACAGTGAATTATGAGACACATTGAGAATATTTATTATTAAAGCGCTGCATGTAATAACTGTGTTAAATTAAATGAAACTATGCTGTCACAGGCGAGAGCTGTTCCACTTGCAGAGGGAGCTGCTGAGAGAGAGGGTGAGGAGCAGCGTCCTGGAGGATCAGCTGAAGCCCATCAACATTCACAGATGGAGACGACTGGAGGTGAACCACTTGTTTAAAGTGTTTATGAGCTGGAGGGAACTTCAGCTCTGTGCTGTTGTAATTGTTTTTCTTTACAGGTAACATGAAGTTCTCCTTTGTAGTGTTTGTGAAAATCCTCTCAAATCTTGACCAAATTCTTTGTTAATGTCTCTCCCCTGCAGGGCAGTGATCCTGGAAAATACGAACTCATCCAGAAGATTCAGTCCTTACAAAAACGACTCATCACCAAAACTCAAGAGCTGGAGGAACGGGAACTCTTATTACAGGTAGATACTCATTACACTAGAGCACACTGCACATCACTGTGCATTTCTATAAAAGGAGCTGGTTCAACAAATGAAGCCAGAAAGGGCTGGTGGAGTGGTTAGCTCTGTTGCTTCACAGCGAGGAGGTCCCTGGTTTGCATGTTCTCCTCGTGCATGTGTGGGTTCTCTACGGTTCTCCAGCCTCCTCCCACAGTCCAAACACATGCTCATTAATGACTCTAAATTGCCCGTAGGTGTGAATGTGATTGTGCCTGCTTGTCTGTCTCTATATTGAAGAAGCAAAGCGGGATTTTCTAGCACAACTTCACCAACTAGCAAGGTGCATGAAGAGTGAATGGCTTGAAGAGTATAAAATGCTCCAGCAACACTTGTAGTATGAAGATCAATTTTATTAACAAATTAGACCGACGGCAATGACCCTGATGAAGGTGACAAGCCAAAACGTGTCGGTCTAATTTGTTAATAAAATTGATCTTCATACTACAAGTGTTGCTGGAGCATTTTGACCTCTGTCTGTCTCTATATGAATGACCGGCGAACAGGTGTACCCCGCCTCTCGCTCAATGACAGCTGGGCCGTATCCGAATTGCCAAGTACATACTGAATCTTTCAGTAGGCAGTAGGCAGTATGCAGTACGTACTATCTGTGCTGCATACTGTTAGTACCTAGTATTCAGTATGCACACACAGTAGGCAGATATTTGTGCCTACTTCTTCTGATTCATTCAGTATGGAAGTAACGTCATTTACGTTTCTCGAATCGGCTGCATCCACCCGTTTTTCTTTTTGTTTTTTTTGTTTAGCTTTATTCAAGAAGAGTAATGCGCATATACAGTCAGGTAAACAAAAAACAATATCACAATGTAAATCAAGTAAAAGGCAGATTAAATAACTAAATAACATACAGTACATAAAGGAAAGTACAAATGAAAGACAGTAATATACAGAATATAAAATAAACCAATAAAGACACATTTAAATAGTGAAATCATTATTTAAATAGAGAAAGGTTTTATAATAATGCAGATATTTGTTATATTTTCTGTTGTTAATATAAAGTAGTGATTTCAGTCAGGACTTTAACTCTAGATTAATAAATGATTAAATTAATCCACGCTCGTTTGTTTTGATTTGGAGGCGCACGTGACGTGACGATTTACGTTTCATTTCGCACAGCATTGTGGGTGGTAAAACACAATTCATTTCCTGAAAGCACGCATCCGATCCATACTGCATAAAACCCGGAAGTTAGTATCCATACTGAAATGTTCATTATACTGAGGTGGACCCAAAAAATGCATACTGAATGACCATGAAAGTTCAGTATACTGAAACTACATACTGAATAGTACGTACTGCATACTGAACTGTGACAATTGGGAAAGGGCCCTGGGATCAGCTCCAGCCCCCCGCCACCCCGTACGGGAGAAAAGTGGTATCGATAACTGATAGATGGATGAAGACAGAAATGTTTGTGACCTAGTAACAAGGTGTGTGACATACTGACATAAGTGCATTTACAAAATCAGACCACTGTATAACCATTTTAAAAGAAATGTTTCTGTCTGAACAAGACAGAGAAAAACGACTGTGTTTATTTAAAGAAGGCTAAAGTTAAACAGGTTCACAGGTGTAAGTGTGTAAAACTCAATTATAAAGCTGCAGCTCTTCCAGCTGCTCCTGTCGTCCCCTAGAGAGAGGATTACATTAACCTGGTACTGAAGTCACTGCCAACGAATCCTGAGTGTTGGGATCTGTTTTGTTTCTTACTCAGCACACCGGTCTGCTGCTGCTGTGTTTCAATCTGTGTAATTATCTAACACTACGTCCTCCTATTGCTTTAACTGTTTCATCTTCATTCATTGTATTCCCCACAAAGGAGAAGGAGAAGCTGTACGTGGAGCTGAAGCACATTCTGGCCCGTCATCCGGGTCCAGAGGCGGTGGAGCAGCTCCAGCAGTGTCAGTGGACCCTCAGAGACAGAACTAAGAAACTCAAGGTCATCTGCTTTCACATTCTCTGTCCCTACAGTAGCAATCCTCTATGTCCATTTTAAACACGGTTGTGATGTCAATTGAAAAAAGATTAATCCTTCTAGCTAATTAAAGTCCAACAAAGACCTTGATCAGAATGTGAGACTCTTTTAATGTATTCAATGTATCCGTTTATTTTACAGGGACACATGCAATGAAAATGGTCTCATATGTAAAATACTGTTCAGAGCAGATGCCATGATTACAGGTTTCTAGCCGGGGCTGATTTGCAACCCCTGTCCCTGGCTCGGCTTTTAAGATTCAAACAGAATCTTTAGACTTAAAGAAATACAGAAACAGTCATACTATACAAATAAAGACATTATAAACTCTACACAGATAAGAGACTAAATAAGACCAAACAGTAAAAATGAGGAGTAACAGAGGAAACAGTCAATACTCACCGACTTGTTCAGTTTCAAGTTGGATCGAGGCTTTCCTTGAAAGCTAAACTTCATATTCATATACTCCATATGTGTTGTAGCTGTGAGCAGATAGTGTTACAAATAGTTCCTCCTTTAAGTGTCATTTTCTTAAGTCATACCTTCTCAGTTTATACAGCTCGCTTTGTTAGTGCCCATTTCACTTTTAATCTCATATCGTACACAAATGTACAGGCCTGATTTAAGGTTAATGTCATAAAGCTACTTTGATAAACACTACCCGTCTAAAAGGTTTTTCTTTTTCAACCTGCTCAGCTTCTTTTGTAAAAGTTTTTAAAGATAAAAAGAAAGTTAGAGAAAAACTTTTTTTATGAGAGAAAGAGAGCTAATGTCATGTCTTTTTTCATTTTTCCATCTCACTCCACAGGCTCTGATAGCCGAGCTGAGGATGCTCGACTCCAAGATGAACGAGTACAAAAGTGAGAATCAAAGTTTAGCCGGCGAGCTAGCAAACATTAAGAAGAAGTACCTGAGTCAGAAAAAGCTTCACAGGTGAGGCTCATTATTTGACAGCTCGAGACTAAAATACACGATTCATTGTACGCAGAGAAAACATCCCCTGTAGCATCTTGTGATGGTTGTGTGCGCTCTCTGATTGTGCGTCTCTTCAGTGAGCAGAGGTCTAAAGTGAAGGTGGAGCAGCTGGAGCCGCTGCCTCAGCTGAGCAGCAAACCTCACTTCACAGGAGGAGGCTTCAGGATCGACAACCCGGCCAGAAGACAATAGACGATGAGACTCCTGTCACACATTTCTCCTACGACATCATCTGACATTATCAGCCAATCAAAGGGCTTCAAACATCCTTTTTTACCAACAAGCAATCATGAACTCTGAAAAAGACTAGTAGATGACATTGATAATGCATCATGTTGATTTATCATTAAAAGAAGGCTAATTTATTTATTTAAGAATTCTGAGAATTGTATTTGGATTCTGGATATAATTCAACCTGACAGCATATTACCTGTAAAAAGCACTTTTTATAGAGTGGGTATTAAGTAACAAAGTTAAAGTTATCCTCCTTTATTCCTTGGCTAGTGTTCAACATGATGTTCATGTCATCACCACTAGATGTCAGCAAAACACAGACTGACTAAATATCACAACAACAGCTTCCATCTCCCAGAGTACTTTAGAAATATGTCGATGAAAACATGTACTTTGATAGAAATGTTATGTAAACATCTTAAATAAAGAAATTATATATATGTTTTATGTTTGTGCAATTATATTTTAAACATGGGACTCCAAATTAAAGCTTTAGCACAGGGCTATTCAACTTTATTGTTCCGGGGGCAAAATTTTCAGAAAGCTAAGGACCATCAACAACACAAGCGTGTGATAGGCTGCGAGTACAGGACCAAAGACGTTCTATTAAACGGGAGCGCTGTGCTTTCTTTAAAAAAACTTTACTGTGACAACAATGACAGTCATTCAGAATGCCTGCTTTAGCATGAGGTGCAGAATCTCATTGTGTTGATGTTGAGTCCTCACAGCGTCCATACGCTCGCTTCAATTTTGTTTTGGTTAATTGGCTCCTGTTGTCTTTCTTTGAATGGTTATGACAAACAGAAGTTGTTCATGTAGTGCTGGACAATCACAAAGTCTGGGTTCATCATTTGGTGTTGTAAAGTCCATCTGAAGGTCCTCACATACTTGATGACTTCACAGTGGGACAGACCTCAAAGTTTGTGAGTCTGTGGGTGTGGAGACTGTGATTTGGGTAAGACCACACATGACACACAGCACAGTATTGTTTGTAGTCCTCTTTGTAAATTAACCCAAAATTGCTAGAGAAGGAATGACTTTAATCTCTATGCAAATCTAAATGTTGATGACTTAGCAAGCTTCTACAAAATGAAGTTTTACCCCCTGACTCTTCTTAACGCTCTTCTTCCTCTGTGTCCCTCCTCCTGAAAAACAAACCCACAGCATCAACAGCTCTGCTTGTTGAAAGAGTCTAAAAAGTGAGCACAAAGTCCTTCTTACTCCCCCTTGTTGTTTGTGGAGTAAAACAGATTCTCCAGTGCAATTACAGCGTAACTATGGAAACCATGTCAGTGCAGTGACGTGTTGTGTTGCCGTAGTAATGAGAGTCCTTCTCCAACCGGACAGATCTTTCTTCTTCTTTTCTTTTTGTGTCTGAATGAAGACACCGCTGACAGTGTAAAGGAGCTGCTTTTTAATTGGCAAGATTTTTTATTTTTCACACTGATGATAATATTGTGTGTACACTTCTGCGTGTTCAATGTTCAAACATACACATATAGGCTACATGAACATTGGTGTAGGTGTAGTGAGCACAGTGTGTTCTGTGTTGAAACGTGAAGGTGGGCACAGCTCGTCCTGTGTTCTGCTGTTCACTGAATCAGTCTGGAGCTCCTCTCTTTGTCTTCGTCTGTTTTCCTGCCTGCCAACTAACAGAAGCTATTTTAGAAACAGAAAAACACCTTTTCTCTCCAGGAAAATAGTTCTTTTTTTATATAGTTCTTTTGTCTATATGCCAGGCAGAGAAAGAAAGAAAGAAAATGAGATGTGGATTTTTTTTCAGACATAAAATAATCTTATATTTTAATTATTTTAATTTATTCTGAATATTTGACATTTCACACATATTTAACTTATTTTTCAACATTTCGCTGAATTCTTGACATTAGCTTTTTTTATTTTGTGTGCAACTTTTGGACTCTATTTTTCACATTATTTTTCACATTTTAATATTTAACATTTCCTTTTTAGGCTTGAAGTAATGAAATAAAAACTCTTCCTCCTCTAAATGTATTGAATTTATACCTGCCACTTTTGTACTTTGCTAAAGCTTGACTTTATTCTACACATTTAGTCATAAATCTCAGAATTTGACCAAAACGTTTTCTCTAAATGCAAAAAAAGCCTAAATACCTGATCGACTTACATTTCTTCCTAACCGCCAGCTTTGTTCATAAAGTTGTAGTTTTTAGTCTTCAGAGTCACAGTTAGTTGTACTTAAAAAAAGGTCAGCTCTGTTTAAATTATGACAGTAAGCAACATGAAGAATCCAAAGGGGAAAAAACACATAGAACTATGAAACTTGACTGTTGCCAAGCAACCCAAACAGTCTCCTGAAAGATTTGATGTGATTGGCAAGTTCAGTACAAGCTAATGCTGCATTCAGGCGCTGCTCGGGTGGTCTAAGTTTCCGAGTTGTGAAGTCGTTCTTTTGATTTCAGTGTGTTCACATGATTTCAGTTCGGTACGTCTGAATGTTGTAACAACAGCAAAAAACAGCATTGATGCTACGAAGAAGATCAGCAAAATGTAACTGTTACAAGTTATATGTGGGCAAAAAGTTGATGTGCAATACAAGAATTAATAAAAAAGTATGTTAACATTAATGAAATATTTTGTCCCTCGTGATGACGATTCTGACGTCAGGTCGGGCACCTCATTCTTTTCTGGTGTTGTTCCGACTTGAGCATGTGTTCATGTGCATTTTAGATCTCGGAAACTCGTTTTTTCCAATGTGTCCGACACCACATGAATGCAACATAACCGTTAGTTGGTTGTTTGACTCACACCTGATAAAAAAAATGAAATACAGAGGAGGGTGATCACAGACTCAGATCAGACATTTATTTAAATTAACATTGACATTTAATATAGTTAGTGACATGCAATGATCCTAATCTGTTTTTTTAACCAACATTTTAAAGAAATATCATTACAGGCTGTAGCTTTAAAGAAATATGTTCATGGTGAACCCACTGACTCACTCTGACTGCTTATTTTATTTATTTTTATAAACTCTGTCGAACCTGTCATGTTGTTTTAATCTTAATCTGTCAAATCTGCTCAGATCTGAGAGCTGTGTGTTCCTGACCTCAGAGATAGTCTTATTATAATATCTCCTGATCCGAGTGCACTCTGGGTGTGATCGTTACATGTGGAATAATGTGTGTGTTAATGTGTTTACACTCGGACAGCAGAGGATTTTAGACAGCAGGTCTAAACCCAAAGCACAGATTGAAACCAGGGATTACACCAATTTTACAACATAGTCAGTGAAGGATGGAGGGGTCAAAATCAAGATCAGAGTGTAAATATGTATCTGATAAGAGAACTCATATGAAGTGTTAAACTCACACATAGACTGTCCCAGATTAAGATCATGCTAACTACATTTAAATCATGAAACTCTTGTATTTAACACATGGAAGAAATGGGAACAGTTCATCAAACATGCAGACCTGATCCAAAATAAATCCAGTGAGAGCTGATGTTTAAAGCTTTTAATTAACATTTCTGCTGAGCCTGCAGTTAATGACAGTATGTGCTGTGACCCGTCTTCCTCCTAGGTACGCTCTGCACACTGACCGTTTCCACTAAGCGGTCCGGTTTGGTTCAGTTTGGTTCAGTTCGGTACAGTAAACTCTGAACTTGCTTGCGTTTCCACAGCCAACCATAACCTTTTGGTAAGCGCAGTGTAAGCCAGATGGAGATACCCGCGTCAGCTATGTAATAGTGTGACATCATAGCAACCCAAATTGCAGTGTAGCCCGCTATTAATTAAGTTCAACGAAGAAGAACGGGACACAGTAAACAAACGGGACCCTTTATTGTCCGATCGGTATCCTTGGCACCCCAACAGACGGGTCCCAAAAAGGTAGGACGGTACAGATCCCTTATTTTGGTACCATACCCAACTTCTGACGGTGGAAAAGCCAATAAATGGGTACCATGCCGAACCGAACTGAACCGGACCGCTTAGTGGAAACAGGGCTTTAATAGACCTGCCTCTCTACCTGTGGAGGGCGCACACACAAAAATGAATCACAAATACAAATAAAATGCAGAAAACATAAACGATGCAAATAAAACAAACTTAAACGCGGCTCCTACAAAGACAACAGAGCTGCTGTAGCAAACAGGAAGTGAATAAAAGAGACGTTGTTAAACATGTGAAAACATTTACACTCAAACCATGTTTGTCTGTACTGTGATTGTTATGTTCAGCTATTAAATGATGCTGTATTATTATGTAGTCTGATGCACTTTAACCATTCTTTGAGACTGAATAAGAAGAATTATTCATCAATGTGGTATATGAAGAATGCTTGTTTGCTTATTTTATGTTGACAGCAAGCCTTAACAAGCATGCATAGTGGGATTTGTATTCATTCACAGAGCTGTTTTGAATTGACAGTGACCTGGGTTTAGTATGATATCTCTGCTCTGCATGTGTTTCTCTAGTCAGACTATTGTCAGAATGGTGGAGCAGACAAAAGGTGGAAGCTGCTGAAAGGATTCAGTGTACGAGGTAGAGTGATAAACACGGTGTTACCTTGCTACACATCTCCTTCCCCCAATCCTCCTCCTGCTCTCCTTGCTTCATGAATATTGGGGAATTAATGCTTACAGGGGGAGGGGGGGAGGAGGCAGGGACAAAGAGAGAAAGCGAGGATAGTGAGGGGAGAAGAAAGAGAGGGAGGGAGGGGGGGGAGCAGATGTCGTCACAGTGCGCAGGCTCTGTGCGCTCTGAGCTGCTGCCTATTGATTGGAAAACAACGGGCTGTGGGAGGACGCATCAGGGAGGCTGTGGGCTAACGGGTGAGGGAAGGGATACACACCAAAAGCTTGGACCACGCTGCCATCTTTACCTCCCTCTTCTTCTTCTTTTTTCGTTCCTCTTCTTCATATCTGGGATGAATGCCGCTCCTGCTCCTCGGTGGGTTTTACAGCTGAGGGAAAAGACTCTCCTCGTCTGAGCAGATCCTGAACAAGCCGAGCCTGGAAAACAACCACACAGTCTACTGCAGGTAATCTGTCTTCCCTCTGTATCGCCCTGTGGTTCATTTGTCCAGGTCCTCCCAGTGCATCATCTTCCTCCATCCTTGCCTTGTAACCATGGTTTCCTCGATCTCCTCTCGCTGCTCTTCTCTCCCTCCCCCACTCTTCTCTTTTTTTTTCTCTCCATGTGATGAGCTGATGACATGGACCTGCTTGATTTCTATTTCTACCACGGCCGCCTTAAGATAAAATGAAATGGAATGCATTTTTTAAAATATTTATGTGGGAGAAAATCTGTTTTTTTTTTAATGTGATTTAACTCAAGGAGGGAAACCCAACATAGAAAAAATAATCATAAAATATCAGCCTTGGAAATCTGTGTTCAGTGACGTAGTGATGTTCATTCCTCCCACAGTAAAACAAGGTTTCTCCATTGCATTAAATGACCTCTGATGAGCTCTCCTGATTGGCTCTTTTCATACCTGAATGCTGAGGAAGCACCTGAGACCACCAACACTTAGTGAAGGTCACATGCACAACCACAATTGACGCACATCCCAAACAAACACTCATACACACATTCAGCCGACCCCTAGGCCAAAAAGGCAACCATCAGGGCTGATGTTGATGATTTCATCTCCGTTCATTAAATGAAGTTTTCCAGAGGTTTTCTACCAACCCAGTGGGAAAAGCTACAACGTGACCGGGGAGTTGTTACAGGGAAAATTAATTTGTGCATTTTCACCCTGACAAATTTGCAAGCATCAGTTCAGCTGCACAGAGTCCCTGTGGCAAGGTGACAGTCTGCTCATGTTCCTTTTTAAAGCAGACCAAATGATCTTAATTGGATCCTCTGACAGATGCCGCTTGTCAGTCACTGTCACATAAAAAGGCTGATTTATTCCCCCTACTGTAAGGATTTGTTCAACATGGGGTTCTTTCATCTGCAGAGAAATTAGAAAATGAGTAAAAGAAGAGCGAGATGCAATAAAAAAGAAACACAAACCAACAACAACACATCAGAGGAGACTGATCTGAGGAGAGAGTGAGAGAGAGAGAGTGAGGAGGAGATCCTGTAAAAACACAATATCCGGCTGCTGAACGAGCAGCACTTTGCTGAGTGCTGAGAACAGGAGGAAGAGGCTTGCTTAAGCTTGTTTTTTTTAAATAGACTCCTCTGAAGTCACTCACTTAGACCAGGCCACGGTCCAGCACAGCACACAGGATGAAACTGAGGCCTCACTTCTGTAATTACACTGCGTCAGACAACCTGACCGACGCACAACTTCCCCTCAAAGTCTGACAACAGCATTAAGTCGTTAATGATGTTTGCTGATTCTTTCTTTCTTGGATCACATTCTTTTAATTCTGCAGATTTCAAAATAAGACTCAATTTTACGCTCACTGATGATACTTTGAGCTTCCACAGAAGAGCTTCATGACATTTGTTTATCCTCATAGTCAATTAAAATGACCATAACCATAGTTCTTCTGCTGCTCCTCCCCTGAGCTGATTTCAGTCATTAGAGAACCAAAACAATGATTTGGGAGTGAACGCTTTAATGTTGTTTTAGCATCTTATTTTAGATAGACTCATGTTTACTACTCTCCAAAACACAGGGACTACTTGGTGTTCCCAAACAATGTGATTAAAGGTCCCAGAAGAATTATCTCAAGATTACCTCTATTTAGTCATCTTGATCAGGTGGAAAGTCAAAGGAGTGAAACCAGAGACTGTTTTTAAGAAGTGAACACAACCAGCGTGAAGTCAACCTTTTGTTTGTAGACAATGTTTGAGGCCTCAAGTTTAGCATTTCTGGCCGTCATCAATCTTCTGTTCTGTGCAGCCAGAAGTGAACATACTGTATTTGGACGGTACTCTCCTCCATCCTGGCTGACAGGTTCACCGTTAATGCATCTTGTCAATGTCAGCAAACCACACCCTAAAGCCTACGCTGCTATAAAGTCCATTCCTCTAAACCTGTCAATAAGTTGAAACATATACATCATGCTGTATTAAAGAGGACTTGATCCTAGAAATAGAGACCACAAACTGGTATAGTAAATGTTTACTGAGGTCATAAATCAAAGAAATTGCAGGATCATTTTCTGCTACACTTACTGTACATATTTAGACTTTTTCAACAAGAGAAGTCGCCTCTGCTTGCTTTCAAATTCTGCAGGTTTAAGGCACTTCTGCATTGGCCTTTCTTACATGACCTCAAGCTACATCTGCTCTGTATGTACAATCTTTTTATTAGAACATGCTCAGAGAATAAATGTCAAGAAAATGTTTTCTTTTTTTTCAAAACGCCCCTCAGGTTAAAGATATTGAAAGTTAAAGTACATCCCTACTACAAACTGTTCCCTTTATTACTGAATGTTTCACACTTAGTGCTCTACAAGAAAGCAATGTGTGTTTTTACTGGCGATTGCCTTTTCCATGGGTGTTTTTATATGCATGTTATTGAGGTGTCCTTCCCTTTGTCAAGCAATTTTCTAAAGTCAGTCCCAGAACCCCAAATGTGCTGTCAGTGGTGTCACTGTGTTGTAAAAATGGGCCTTTGACTTGTTTACAACTGGTACACTATGACTTCATTAAGACTGTAAGTTGAGTCCATTCATCTAAATAGGCATCATAATTAAATGACACCATTAATGACACAATTATGTGAAGCTATCAGCCCCCCCCCTCACACACACACACACACACACACACACACATCTATCATGTAAATTCATAAAGAAACCCATGACCAGCAGTGAAAAACAGCCATTTTATATAGTGTGACAAATGCTCCTATAATTTCCTGCCCCAGAATCTAGAAAAACCTCTTCAGTTAAATCCCAGTGGACGAAGGTAATTACCAGTACAACCAACTGGTTTGGTTCCCTTTGGGACCTGGTCCCCTTCTGGCACATCTACCTCCATCTCCTCTTTGTCTAGACAACATGGCGTCCACTCCACATGAGGTGAGACAGGAGTGATTTAGGAAACGCCAAATAAATCCTTTTGGGAAATTATGAAGTTAAACAGATGGTGACAGACATGCATGTTTGTACTTCGTCTGATCGGGTTCTTTTAATCATCGGCGTAGCGGACATAGCCATCGAGTCATTCGGTTTCCGGCTGCCACTTTGAATCTTTGAATTTGGTATTTTATCGATTGCCATCTTTTTTTCTTGGAGTTAAAGTGACCATATCTAGACAAAAGGTTGGAACAAGATAGGACAGGGAGTAAGTAAATGTTATATGCTAATACTGGAGCTAGCTACTAGAGCTAGCACTTTGCTTAGCAACGCTAACCCAAATGTAATTCAGGGTTGAATCTTATTGTGATGATTATTTTAGCTTCTGTAAACAACTACCTTTGAATTAATGATATTGAATGAAGCCTCTGATTCCAAAAGTTAAGTTAGTGTGGAAGTTATTTTAACCTGCATTCTTTCCAAAGGCCAGAAGGGGGCAACACCTCATATTCAAAACTGAATTAAAAATAAAACATCTTGCGGAGCATAACTGCTACGCTATCCCATGGAGATGAGTGTAAAAAATTACCTTTCTTAACTAAAAATGTGGACAGAGATGGAACGAGTCTAACATCATCTGGGAGATTATTTATGTCTGTGCTGCATGCTTACAAACTGCAGCGTCATTGTGTTTTGTTCAAACTCTAGGGATGCCATAGAACAGCTCCAAACGTGTTCAGGGTCCAAGGTGGTTCATACTGTGTCACAAGCATGTCAGATATATATATATATTTTTTGGTGCTACTGTTAGACTTCTACACAAGCAGAGACATTTTTTAAATCAATTCTTTGCTTGAAAATTTCTCCACTTGAATTTCTAACCGGTCTGCGATTTAAACCAAATGTACTTTCTAAAAAAATCAAATTTTATTTTTGTTATTTTGTAAGATTTTTTGGGAACTTTTCCCTTTATTTGATAGGACAATGGATAGAGTAGGAAATTGGAAGAGAGAGTGGGGAATGACATGCGGAAGAGGATCCGCAAGTCAGACTTGAACTTGGGCCGCCCGCTTGGAGCACCATAGCCTCCATACAGGGGGGCAAATGGCCTAACCGCTAGGCCATATGCGCCCCAATCTTTTATGAAGACATTTTCTGTTCAAAACAGCAGCTAATGGTCATTCACATGTAGCCATGCCATTTGCACTGTGTATCTGTTTAACACTTAATAACACCATTATTTGAAAAAAGGCCATCATTCTGTGTTTAAGTAGCGACTCAGACCATAAACTCATTTGGTAAATCTTTAATGAGGTAATGAATCAAGAGAGAAGTAGGCTCATTTTCTGGAAGACTAAACAACCAGACTTTGTAAACAGTAGAGTCTGTCCCTGCTGGTTTGAGGCACCTCCCCATTGGCTTGGATTTTAAAATAAAAAGTACATCCACTCTAGGCTTTGCAGTTTATGTTTCAAACAGATTTACTGCACCGTTGGTCTAGCCTTGTTAAATAAATGCTGATGCAATTTTAAACAAACTGCTGATTAAGCAAACTCAGTGCATTTAACCCTTTATCACCCCGTGTCTGTTTGTGCAGGACTCAGAGATCTACAGACAGGGGTCACCATGGAAGCCCCTCTTGTGTGTTTGGATGAGGAGTTTGAGGACCTGCGGCCCTGTCACATGGACGAGTTTAACAACTCCTCTTACTCAACCAACACCTCCACCACCGTCCCCCTGGCCACCATCACCCGCGAGGACTTCTCTGAGCTGGAGAACTTCTCTGAGATGATGAGCTTCAAGTCCATGGAGGACCTGGTCAACGAGTTTGACGAGAAGCTCAACGTCTGCTTCCACAACTACAACACCAAGACGGAGGTCCTGGCACCGATACGCACCCAGACACACAGCCAGGAGGACGAGGAGAGGTTGCAGGATGAAGAGTGAGTGGTCAAGTCCTAGTAGTTTGACAAAGTACTCAAAGTAAAAAGGTCCACCTATTATGTCCCAGTAATGTTCGGTCATCTATATAGCATTGGTCAAGGCTGCTAAATACAACATTGAAGCTTTAATGGAACAGAAGTGGCATACCTGAATTGTGCGACCATCAAAATATTTGAGGTAAAAATCACCACTCTTTGGGTCAATCTTTGCTCAACATTTCTATTTTTTTTTTTTAGATTAATATTTGATTTTACAGATTTTTGGGGGGAGCTTAAAACAAGTAATCTCTCTTTACTCTCCCTTGAATCTGTGGTCTAAAAACTCTAAAACTCTAAAACCTTACTAATATGCCACTTCTAATCCAAAATGGCCATCTGTTAATATTTTTTTTCCTCAGCTGACATCTCTATATTTTCCTCATCTCCTCACTAATCTTTTTTCCTGAAGTTATGGTCTCACATGGGTCAAAAGTGCAACCTGATAGGCTGAAATCTAACTTCCTTATCAAAATCTTTGTATGACATATTCAGGATGCAGGAGTATAAAGCTAAATCCTTTATCTTATAAAAAAAACACATATGACCTAAATCACCTTTCTCCCTTACTCCCATATAATAGCTTTACTATAATGACAGTCTATTTGAAAAAGAAAGCTAAAAGGCTTCTGGGCACGGTAATGTGTTACATCACTACAAAGTCCAAAATGTTCCTCTCACAGAACAGCAGGACTATAATAGATTACATAATTTGTGTTTAACGCGAAGTGATCCGTTTCAAACCCAGGGAACACATATGAATTACAAGGTTTCTGAAGGATTGTATGTTAGGTTGTGTCTACATGCTTTATGTCTATGAGGCGACTGTGGCTGTGGATCCGTGGTAGAGTCGGTCGTCTCTCAACCGGAAGGTCGGGGGTTCGATGGGCAGCTCTTGCAGGCACAACACAATTACCCCAAATTGCTCCCGCTAATTGGTCGTTGGCATGTGAATGTGTATGAATGGATGACTTTATACTGATGGACACTTTACAAAGCATCCTCTACCATCAGTGTGTGAATGTGGTGTTAAAGGGGAAGTGTGATTGAGTCCTGAGTCCTCTGAGTCCGTCAGCTACACTCTGTTGAGCCCACACTGTTAGACCCCAGGTGGGCCAAGTCTGCTCTGATTGGTCTGCTGATCCGCTCTGTTGTTATTGGTCAGTTGCTCAGCACGCTTCTCGGAATATTTCAACATGAGCTGCTGGGCTTGCCACAACGAGCCAATGGGCTTAGATCAGTGATCTCACACTGACAATGACGTCGGACTGACACATTTTTATCGAGGGGGGATAGAACCGAGCGTTACATGCAGCTAATGCTACAGCTAACAGGAGGACGTAGGAGAAGCCGCGTTTCTGCAGACTTTTTGCACATAGATGTGCCTAAACATGCACAGGACACTTGGAAAACACACTAAAGAGCATATAAAACCAGAAAAAGCATAATATGGGACCTTTAAGTATGAGGAACATAACAAAGTGACAATATGACTGCAGTGGTGGCTGCTTGAAAAATACGGTGAGCTATATTACAAGTTGCTCTACATGAAATGCTCAATTAACAAAGAATGAAGTCTGCACGGGCGATGGTTAACTTACCAAGACTTTGTTACGTAATGGAAACACGTGCATGTGTTTGCTCCAGTAGGTGAACTCTTGCTCGCCTGTCTGCACTGTCACCAGCAGCAGTGATGTCATGAGCATCAAGGATTAGACAGTGATGTCACCGTCATACAGAAGTAAATACTCCGTTACAAATACACATACTGTAATGTTTATTGGCTGGCGTCGTCTACTCGTCCTTACTAGTCAGATTTTGGACCGTGACAGAACGATCCGCTGCACTTCAAATGCTTTTGTTGGGATAGTTAGCTTATTTGGACGCTTCCAGAACAGCTACGTTACTGAAAAGCAATTTGTTCAGAAAAAGAGCCACAGTAACACTGAATGTCTGCCAGCATGGTGACATAACAGAACACAACAAAGACTCTTGGTATTTCATATAAAACCCTTTAACGTCAGTTCAACAATCATTTACTCATTTTGTAGCCAATGCCCTTACATCGCAGCCTCAGGACTAAAAGATTAGAGCTGCACATCACACCTGACAAAAATAAAATATTTACACCCACACACACAAACCACAACATCCCAAACAAGGAGTCCCCCCAGCATCATGATGACCCCACCCTCCATTACACCACAGTCGGTCTTCTGCTGAATTATTCAATGTGCAGTATCGTACGCCTCACTGTGCTTTGTCTGTGTATCTTTCACTGCCTCTCCACCAGCTCACTGCCAGACCCCCCCCCCCCCCGACCTCCTCCTTCTCCACCTCCTCCTCCTCACAGCATCTGAAGCGGAAACACACACTCCTCGTCACACTGTGTGAGGATGAATCGAGCTAAAAATAGTCCGTAGGTGTGAGAGGAGAGGGCTGGAGAGGAACTGTGTGATTTCTCAAACAGTGCTTACCTGAGTCTTTATTATACATAATGAATTAATGGAGAACAAACACAGTGCTACCATTAAGCTGCATGTTATGATGGAGTCTCAAGCTTTAAACCATGCACTGAGTTGTTGCAGCACATGTCAGAAGACAGTTAAGATATTGTGAGTCAAATACACACATTGTTCCCCTCCTCCTCGTCACATAAACATCTCATTGTCCCTCCTCCTCGCTCGAGTCCAGCTCTCGTTTGTAACAAAACTGTGATTTTAAATCAAGTTAGTCGTAAATATAATATATATTTATTCACATTAAACATTAAACCCAGTACAGATGAAAACAGTTCTGATTTGTTGTGGAACATCAGAGTTCAAACCAAAGGTTGAAAACAGTCTGTGTCACTTTTTGTGATAATCCCTGCAGTCTTCTGATTCTGAAGGCAGATCTGAGTCAGCTGATGGTGAGGCAGAATATTAAATGTTTTGTCGTCAGTTGGCTGTGGGCCAACAAACACAGCAGGATGGCTTAGTTACATGCTGTCCAGATGACCAAACACTGAGTCTGTGCAGTGATGGAGGCAGTCTGTGCTGTGTGCTGACGACTGATAAGTCGAAGATAAGTAAGATAAGTCTTTTAAAATGAGATGATTTTTTAATTCATTCAAACAGTCAGTTTCATTTAAAGGCTGATAATCGGACATAAAGTCAGATACATTCTGGGTTCTATGGTGCAAAACATCAAGGGGGGAAATTAGATGAGGTTGCGCTGTAGACATTAACATTTGGCCACTGCGCTTAGTTAAAGGTCACATAGTATGCAAAACAAACTTCACTATGTTTTTCTAGCGCTAGTATATGTCCCTAGTTGGTCTAGATGGCTCTAATTATGAGAAAAGTCCATCCTCTCTGTCTTTTTCCTGCTCTGATTTTCAGAAAATGTGTGCTCAAACAGGCAGTTTGGAGATTTTCCCTTCATGACATCACAAAGGGCACTAACCCCTCCCATAGCTAGGTGTTTGTTCTTCCCTCTGAGTCTGCCTTCTCACCGTAAACAATAGGACATGGAGCAAGAAAGCCCAGAGACACCCAAGCCCTTCCAGAGAGGGGGCGTGGTCAGACACAGCTCATTTACATATTTAAAGGTACAGACACAGAAACAGCCTGTTCTGATCAGGGCTGAAATAGAGGGGTTTATAGACATGATCAAATACAGGATCAGAGTGGATTTAGAACAAGAAACTTTTGGGGAGTTCTGAGACTTATTTACACTGGTTAATAAGGAGAATAATATGTGACCTTTAAAAAAAGGTAAATAACAGGATATAATTCATTACTAATATTGTACTTAAATATGTGTGTATGGATTTTCATTTATTTCCATTGCAGTGCTTACATATGCACCTTCTGGTAAACTAATAAATATAGACTATAATCACTGAATTGAGTTATAACATCTGAGAACTATTCAATATTAATGTGGGGTGCACCCTGGACTGGTCAACAGCCAGTCATAGCAGTGATATACTGAGACAAACAACAAGTCACACTCACATCCACACCTACGGACAAATTTTAGAGTCACCAACCTAACATGCATATCTTTGGACTGGGAGGGGGGACGCCGTAGTACCTGGTGGGATCTCATACATGCACAGGGAGAACATGCAAACCCCACACAGACAGGGATTTGAACCAGAAACCTTCTTGCTGTGAGGCAACAGCACTAACCACTGTGCAGCCCTCTTACATTTGAATGCATAACAAATGCAAACAAACAGTTGATAGGATGCAGAAATACACACATCTTGTAATGTATTCCTTAAGTGTAGGCGTAAGTGATGATAGCGTTGGCTGCATTTAAAATAATGCTACGTTGGTTAGTTTACAGAAAGAGAAAAAAAAATGTCCCTTGTTTATGTGCTGTTGCAGGCAGCAGGGACATGCAGGCCGCTGGTGAGGTAAGCTGTGAGCTGAATGTGTCCTCTGTGTGTCTGCTGTGGGCAGTGCCACTGAGAGCCGGGCAGCAGGCCCTGAGACAACCTCTGAGAGGAGGAGGAGGAGGAGGAGGATTAAACACAAAGGAGACTGTTTCTCTCTTTTAGTTTGATGTAATTCCTCCTCAGACAGACGCTTCACTGGGTTCAGTCCGAGACCGACTGCACAATGATGTGAGAAGCTTTATCTAAATCTCTGTAAGGATACCGTTTACTCAGTAGTAAGCAGATTTTTTTTTTTTCCTGTGGTGCATTGTTCCTCTGCAGCCTCGAGCTCTGTGCATTGCCTTCTTTGAAATATTGACTGAGTTGTAGGCTTCTGCAGACGTAGCTGAGTAGACCTGATTTTAACCAGGGGATAAGACAACACAGCCATCTGTAGTCTAATACTGTTATATAAGCGTCTAACTACACGGTGTGTGGCTACAGCAGCTTAAAATAGCGTGCAGCCTGTAGAGTGAGGGACAGACCTTTTGATGTTTAAAAGTTGCTCTTGCTTACATGCGTGCATGTATTTGTGTGTTATTTGTTTTGCAGCGTGTGGGATGCTCTGACTGACAACTATATTTCCACCTGGGACAACCCCGACCAAGAGGGACTCAACGGCAACCTGTCTGAGCAGGAGGTACGTGTTGCTGCTCAGCTTCATGTAAGGCTTTAAAAACAACAATAAAACTTTTATTGTAATTGGTGAATTTAATATAGAGATTTAAATAACATTTAAACTTAATGTCATTAGGAGACATTAGCATGTTTGAAAAGCTCTTGATTTATTCATGTCTTATTTTTTGGGATTCAAGTAAGAGTCTCAAAGGGTCCTCGCATGAAAGCAGGACCTCAAGATGTACAGCATTTATAATAATTAAAAATACAAGGCAAAGGGGAACATAAATTATATCACAGCAAACCACAAGCAACAGAATACCAAACAAAAATAATACAAAATGATGCGTGTAACTTCTATTAATAAAAGGAACCAGTCAACAATTTTACGTGCAGGTATTTACTCTTTATCTAGAACGACAAGATTCTGTTTACAGAAAGTGGACGAGACAGCACCGTGCTGCAATCAAGGGCAATATCAAGCAACGCTCAAGTACATAGCAACAAATAGAAAAGCCAAAATCCAACAAAACTAAATTTAAACAACAGCTCCCCTTAGTGGGAGTCGGCTATCCTGTGATCAGCCTAGTTAAGTTGAGCATTATTTTAAAATGTGAAGATATTTTTGGTATAGTTGTTAAAAAGCAGATAAAAGTTCAGATAAAATACATGACTCCATCCTCCTCCTTTTTAAACATGTACTGTTGGCTTCATGTTGAACATGTTAGCTTATTTAGGTTCACTTTATTATTGAGTATTGTTTTTTTTCTCTATTTTTCTGTCTTTAATTCAACTTAATTTAATTAAAGAAATCAATTGACCAGTCAAAAACATTATTTTATTTTTTAGTAAACTGAATAACAGTCAATTACCTGAAATGTCCAATATCACATCTTTTAAGAGGAACTGCTTGTTCCATTGTGATGTGTGAAGACAAACTATTCAACACCTTCATCTCTATAATTAAAGTTATGTTAGTATGTTAATATTCAGTATGTAGACCTGCTTTTGAGTTTTCAAGATTAAGGGGGAAACCCCACTCTGGATGCTTAGATTTAAAATAAAGGTCATTACTACTGTATGGATGCAAGGAACGCAAAATGAATGAATCAGTCTTTATTTGTAGAGCGCCGATTCACAACAAATGTTATCTCAAGACACTTTACAAAAAAGCCTGCGGAAAAAGACCTTACTCTTTGTTTTAGTATCTACAAAGACCCAACGTTATTCCATCATTAGCACTCAGCAACATTTAGCAAAGTTTAAGTGGGAAGAACAAAATTTCCTTTAAGAGTTGGAAACGTCGAGCAGAACCAGACTCATGATGAACAGACATCTGATGAGACTGTGCTGGGCTTGGAAAGTGGAATAGAGGGAGATACAGGAAGAAGGGTGGAGACTTCTTCCTGTATCTGTGATAAGGAACTTGAATGGTACATAAAGATTTATGGATAATTACATGCAGTTAAATTAGGATATTAGACAGTTAAATACATCATATATCATGTAAACAGAGCAGAGAAATAACAGCCATGTCCTATGGGTTTGTTTCTTGTCTGATTTGTGTTAGTTTACATTAACTTTACGTCTAGTGTGAGGAGTAGTTTACATTGTTATTTACACATTATGAGAGTCATTGTAACCATCCTCCTACAGTGTTGGTATCACGTGGGTGGTTTAAATCTGTGCTAATTCATTTACAACAGGAAAATATGTTATGAGGGAAATGTAGAACATGATCTATTTATAGCTCTTTTTTATGGTTATGAGATCATTTCAGCTTTTAAGACATGAGATGTTTTATAAAAACTTGTTAAAGACACTCCAGTTAGTGATTAAGTTACATTGTCAACACATTGTACTTGGGAAAGCTAGTATTACGCTAATACCATTTTGGGTGAGAGGGCTGAGCTCTGTGTAAAACGTGTTAATCATGAATGAAAAAAATGATTCAGCAATCTGCTGTAGTGTTTGTTTACCAATTTTATACTCAATGAGAACCGTTTTAGCAGAGCTGCTGAGAGGTCTGACCCAGAAAACAAATCCAGAACCCCAGAAAATGACTCACACAGTCGTTTCCTCTACGGTCTCATCTTATTCCTGCTGAGAAAGAGTGTAATGTAGTTTGTTTATCTTTCTTAAAATGCTTTTAATTATGTTTTTATGGTTTTAATCATCTGAAGAAAGAAAGTAAGAACGCAATGAGTCGTTATTTTCCAAACTGAGTCTCTAAGCAGTCCTCTGTCTCTGAGTTATTATCTCATGCTGACACTTACAGACATGCTTGAGCAACCCTGACTGCTGTGTTGTTCAGCAGAGCTCTCCCTCTTCCTCTTCCCTGTAATTGGCCGTCACATTCAGACGGACAGAATACACTTAGCAGTCCAGGCCATGTTTGGACCAGTCAAGGCCAGAGCAGACATTTTCCCTCCAGAGAGGAGAGGGTTGTTCATGTCAGATACATCCTGTCTTCAGTCAATGTTTGGGAATCTTTTAAGTTCAATGTCTTACTGCCAAACAAACTACCAGTAAGCATTTCACAAATAACTGCTCTGTGTTAGGACAGTATGATGAAGTCACTTTTTTTCAAACATGTCCAAACTTTTCACTGTTTTCTGCTGGATTAGCTCCTGTCAGGGCACAGATAGGCAGTAAAGGCAAATGCTAGGGGCGCCGGCTGTCCATAGGGGGCGCCGCTGGAAGATTATTCATGTGTTACATAACTAGAAAGAAATACACTTTTTCTTATGTGAAGTATGTTGTATGGGACATAAGACCTACTTGTATATTTTATTGATACATTTGTGTACTTAGTTAGCTAACACCCTAAATCGATTAAAATGTTTATTTTTCATCATCTGTTGTAGTTTTAAGCAATTGCCTTTGGAGTATTTATGCATGCATGCATTTTGTGCAAGAATTCCTCAATGAATAGATATTTGTTCATGGTGTAGGTGGGGTTGTAAGGCTTAGGAAAACGTTTTGGATAAACTGAAAAACTATGCTAAGGTTTCTGTTTAGGGATTGAATGTTGAATACATGGGACACCAGCTGGGCTGGGTTGGGTCTGTCCCCTGTTGCTTTCTCTTACAGGTTCATCTGTTTATACCAAAATACAGCATAGAACTGCTTTTTCTGGAATTGTTAATTAAGTAACTTTGTTGTGATTTGGCACTGTATAGATAAACCTTTGGTTGATTGACTGATTGATTGATTGACTGCAAAGACCAGATCACAGAGATTTTGCACAAACTAGATCTGGAATTTCTGGTTCTCAAAAGTTCAACTGGGGGCTTTTATGCTCCTGTTGAGCCTCTTCTGCCATGACAATTGCCCGTTACATTAGAGCGATTAAATGTTGTCATCCTCGGTCATGGACTCCAGAATAAGTAGCTAATTAAACTAAATATGGATATATTTAGTTTATTTTTCCTGTGAAGAGAGGCTCCTTTTGATCCTCATTACTCTGTAAGATTGACTGTTTTACACGTAATCTCACTTTGCGCAGATCCACGAAAAAGAGGAGGAGGAGATGAATGAGAAGAATGACAACGCCAACTGCTTGAGTGAAGAGCCTCTTATCACAGCTGACCAGGTTTGTGTGTGCGTTTGTGTGTGTGTGTGTGCGTGTGCGCGTGCGCGTGCGTGTGTGTGTGTGTGTGTGTGTTAGGTATTTGATTATTTATAAGTCTATCTTATACAGATTTTTTTTTTTTGGTTGGCAGAAACAGAGTACAAGTGGGATAGTAACGACTGAAAATGTCAGGTCAAGACCACATTGCCTTCAACAAAAGTTTTATCAATACTTTTTTTTTTAAACTTGAGAATCAATTTGAACTACTTCCGGTTATTAGGCCAGACTGGTTGAAATAGGCCAACATTTTAAAGATCTTGCTGGAGCAGCTATATTTTGTACAAGCTGGAGGCAGATAATTGGTCCAATTGGAAATCCAGTGATCAGGAGTTCTGCTAATCCAGATGGCTGCAAACTAAGGCATGTTTATTATATCACAATTATTTAAAAAATAATATGGTAATTTCTGTTGCTATATTTTCAAATGCTTTGTATGATAGGAATGCCCAAAGCTTTGGTCAGTCATATATAGACAGTTGTAACTGGTCACTCTTGCACAGAGCACAGAAACAGTAAAGGACAAAGAATAAATCCCTGAGGAACACCAAAGACAATCTGATGTATTACCAAATACCATTTGATAGTTTCAGTTCCTGCCAAAGAGGTCATCTCTACAAGAACAATCTGGATTAATTTTAACCAGACACAAATTTTGTCAATACTTCCATGTAAGCACTCCTACTGACCGGCATCTCCTTGAGATTTCCAAAGGCAATCTTGCACTTATCTTGTATTTTTAAATGTTGTCAGCAAGTAAAGTAAGTTGCGATCAGTCTCTGACATACACTTCTGTAGCTTGAGCACACATCAATAATAGATTGATGTATGTTATGTACAGTTATAAATAAAGCTTTTGGAGGTTTAGTAGCCCCACTCTCCGAACAAATGTATGGTGGATGTGTGTATACCCAGACCTGTCTATTAGTCTCTTTCCTGTCCATAAGCTCGATAGTGTGCTGTATATGCATAAATCTCTCTCTCTGTCTCTGTCGTCAAGGTCATTGAGGAGATAGTCGAGATGATGGAGAATTCTCCAGATCCTGGTGAAACGGAGGAGGAGGAGGATGAGGAGGAGAACAGCCACTGCTCATCCACAAACAACCCCTCCTTGCTTGAGGAGATCCGGCAGCTGTCACTGGCCTCCAACAACAACTGCTCCTATGAAGGTAATGCTGGAAATGAGTTAACATTTTGGTCATACAACAGAATGCACTCACAACCACAAGCGAGAACAACCACAAGCTGGTTCCCCAACTTTCGTGCTTTTTCCCTCGATTGTGCCTGTATAAACTGTCAGACAGCGTCTGAAATCACCATGGCACCACAAAGTATGTGTCTTCCCCCTCCTCTCATTTAAGAAATTAACCAGAATAATCATAGTAGTAAATAGCTGCAGACTTCCAGCTGTCTGGGAATTTTTTTATTTATTTAGCATGCTTGTTAGCTTGTGTTTGTTGTTAATGCTGGTGTGTGTGTATGCATGTGCATGTGAGAGAGCAAGAGCAATTTTGAAGGGGTTTGTTTTTGAACCTTTGCATCTTAGACAACTGACAAACACATACATCAGACTTCAACTTTGTGGGAGAATATGAAGGAAACTTTGTGCTTTGCCTAAGATATTTATACTTCACCCTTAAAGCCCCTCAATGCTGTGACCATTGACTTAAACTAATGCAAACTATTGTCACCAATGTCTCTGGCTTCAGTAAAGAATATTTATATAGTCTTGCCTGTATTAAAGTTGTCTTTCTAGAATTTCAGTAGCGTTTTGGGTTATTAGAAAAGCAATACAGAAATGTATTATCCACTGACAGTAAAATAATATATTTTTGTTAATATTGCCTTGCAAACAAGATAGGGCCCAGTATTGAACCTTGGGGAACACCTTTGATAGTGGACAGATAGTTTCTCAAAACTACAGATTGCTGTCTGATACACAGATAGTTTTGTAGAATTTTTACAGGACTTAAATGCTGGGGCTTCTATTGTTTAAGTATTTTCTTTATTGCTTCTGTATACACACTGCATTGTATCTTTTAGACTTGTTACTGTAAAAGGGAATTTGTCGAACAAAAGAAGTGTATCATTTGTGTTAACAGTCTTTTTAATGGCTGTACCCTCTATGTTAAGATTCATATTTCTCCTTGAAGAACGCTAGTACACATCAATAAAACACTGTACATAAAAGAAGGGATCACTCTTAAGTGTGTCCTTGCCTTGGCCTGACATGAAAATATCATTAACCCTGTTTGTAGAAATTCTAACATGAAGGATGGTCATGATAAGTGCATGGACACGATGGTCAGGGACAAACATTCACAAACTGCATTTGCTCTCATATTCTGTATGTTCCTGTGCTATGATTGGAGACATATGCACCAGTAATCGTGTTCACCTAGATTCCACCCATACATCATGTTTTGAAGTGATCCACACGGTTAGATCAGTCATATAAATTCAGTTGGTATGTTTTAGAGCTCAGAAGGATAAGGTGTTCTCGGCCATATGAAGCCCGGTCCCTGAACTTATTTCCTCTGTCTGAGGAAATAAGTTTTATAAGATAAATTGTCCCGATCTCTGTGGGGATGGGAGCTGAGAACAGAGACGCAGACCATCTTATGATTGACACAGCTGCTTAAATAACATTTGTCTGATGTCATATTGGTTTATGTTTGGATTAATTTGTTCTTTCGGTAGTTAAACATGATCTGGGTGAGTTTGATCATATGGAAAGTTCATAATTTTACAACATAATGACAACAGGGAAAACAAGAAATTAATTAACATACAAACATTGATTGTATTTTATTATTTTATTCATCCTCTTAAAGTTTGTTCTTACAGGGTCAAGTATGAAGCAAGTAAACAAATACCCATCACCTTAGCACTTTTAGCCTATAAGCTAGTTTGAACTGCCTGTCCTCAGATGTGCCGTTAAAGTCCATAAAACTCAACAATTACAAAAGCGACAGAACCAATCAAACTTAATGAAAATGTACACTCTAAGTTCCTCAGGCCTCTAAAATTACCCAAAATAAACTAAGTACAATTAGAGAATCATTATGACTAAACCACTAGACCACTGATTTAGCCCATATTCACACATTACACATTTGTATATGCATTCAGTCTGTACCTGTCCCTTATGAAAATGTATGTATTTAAACCCATGTGCTTCCTGTGTCCTGCAGGTCTAAGTCTGATGCCCAGCTCAGCGCTGGAAGAGCTGCTTCATCGGGTGGAGGCCACCATCCGTGAGTTCTCAGAGGAGCTTGTCAGTCAGCTGGCCCGGCGTGAAGAGCTGGAGTTTGAGAAGGAGGTGAAGAACACGTTCATCACAGCCCTGATGGAGGTGCAGAACAGGCAGAGGGAGCAGAGAGATAGCAGCAAACGCCGGCGTCGAGACAAAGCCCTGAGTCTGCAGGGAGGAGGCACGCCACCTGTGAACGGAGGAAACACAGGAAACACAGAGAAGACAGGAAGCATGCCTGTCAAGGTGAGGAGCAAGGAGAGGGGATGGCATTGATGGCTTCACACACCGTTTGATTATTTACATTCCATGAGTGTGTGTCTGCAACAGGAGTTTTAAAAGTATGGAGTTAAATATGGCACTATGGGCCAGACTAACTAAGAAAATGCAAAATCTGTGTCTGTAAAACAGCCGCTCAAAACACCGTCAGCTTTTGCATCAAACTAATAGAGCCAGTTCATAGTCTGAATGTAAGAAGTGGATGTGCCTCTTGGTTTCAATGTTAAGCCAATGTAGATTTACCTGAAACCTGCATTCTTTCTCATGTCCAGCAGGGGGTGACTCCATTGGTTACATAAAGAAAGTATGATAGTACATTAGTGTGTCTGAAAATAATCCTATATCTATTTGATTTATTACCTCAGAACTTCTAACCTCTACACAGAATAGAGGTTTTGTAATACGTGTGTTCTCTTTTTTCAATATCACTTCTGGCTGGAAAAAAAAAAAGTTGGCGATGACTAAAATGTTGAATCAAATGCTTCGAAACAATGGTCCACAAAGGATGATATCACAGTGGCTATGTGCACTTGTGTAACAGTCTTTGGTCCTGGTACAGCCTTCCAAAATAATTCTTGAAAAGGAGCAGCTCAGAGCTGTTGTGAGATTTCTGAAGGTTCAAGAAGAAATTAAGATAATATAATACTTTATTGATCCCCACAGGGGAAATTCAGGCATTGCAGTGGCAAGACAGAGAAGTAGGTTTATAGAATAGGTAAGAGAAATGAAAATAATAATAGGAGGTATAGACAGAAGAATATAAATAGTGAGGTGAACTATACAGGACAGTTAAGAATGATGTGCAGTGAATGGCAAGTTAAAGTGACCAGTGAAGATTTAAAGTGACTTGTGTGATTAAAAGTTTGAAGTTACTTAAACAGCAGTATAAGAGCAGAATGATATGACATTATAATAAAATGAAAACTTTTCTTTTCTGTGGCAAAACTATGCCTTAGATAAAATATTAGTGAATTAAGACATATTTCTTATTACCATTAGAAACATGGTAAACAGAAAAAAGGTGCAACAGACCAATCAAACACAAACTATACACACTGCATAGCACTCAGAGGAGAAGGTAGAGAAGTAGACAGAGTATGTAGAGGTGAAGTGTTAATAAGGATGTTATAATAATTCTGATGTAGATGCGACCAAACACACACTTAACTGATTTAACAAGAAATAAGAAGATAAAAGTGGCAGCTTGTAGTGAATCTAAACTCCATAATGGCAAAATTCTAATCTTACAGATGGATATTGTGTTGTAAGTAATAGATAAATTCCTTTGTTTCATAATCAGTTTTAAGTTTGACATGCTTGTATTTACCTTAATGCATGTTTTCCACCAACTACTAATGCTATAACGCTCTTAGAAATACATTAGCATTACAGAGAGACAAACCACTTACACTTACTGAAATCACACCAACACAGCAGCCTGCCCGCTCTGCCCCATTTAAAAAAGTGTCTGAGAATACTGTCACTTTTAAACCTCATGGTACTAAAGACATTTAGCTGCATGTTTATGTTTATTTGTATTGCACACTAAATGTCCTTTAAGTTTATTTTATCTGGGTAAGAGCAGCAAAACAGCCAACAGCGGACAGTTGCCAACGCTGATGAAGGCCTAGTGCTGAAACGCGTCCGTTGTTGTTTTGCTGCTCTGACCCAGGTGAAATAAACTTAAAGGACATTTAGTGTGCCGACTTTTCTGTCTCGCACCTGAAACTGTGTTAACTGTCGAGTGTGCTCCTTTTTTGCTGTTTTTATTTATATTGCACCTAAATATAAGTATATATTGAATGAAATAAAAAAGGTAAAACATGGAGTAAACACCAGAAAGAGAACCAAGAACGTGTGTTTCAGAAATACAATGTCTCCTAACTTCATGCTTGTGTAACTTAGCTCATATATAACAGAATTACAGTAATAATAAAACATATATAACAGCCTATACTGTTATGGCGCCACCTACTGATAGAGTTTAAAGTACACAAACCCTGTGTAGATGACCTGAGATCGTTCATGTTTATGAGGATATGAAGTTACATAATGTACTGTAAAGCCTGCATGGCCATTCTCAGGGCTCTGTCAGTAAATGTAATCATTGTTAATTAATTCTGAAATGAACAGGAAGCTGGTGGAGACTTTGATGTTTCTGTTTGTCCAGTGTAAGCAGTAGAAAAGTAGAAAGTTGAACCTGCAGACAGCTCTCTCTCTCTCTCTCTCTCTCTCTCTCTCTCTGTCTGTTAGCATAATGGATCCATTAGCCTCTAAAGTATCTTCCAGGAAAGATCTTAAAGTGGAAGTGACCCGTCATCTTCATACAGTAACAGCTCAGTCCAATCTGATCCCCTCCCCTCCACTTACATAGAAAACACCCTAATGGACTTTCCCAGCATGCAGTGCAGCAGCAGTGTTTTTATGTGGTGACTTAAATGCTACCTGAGGCTGAACTACTTTATGTAGTTCTTAGTAATGAGTGTAGAGATGTCTTAATGATGCAGATGCAGAATCAACAACAGAACTGATTATCTCTTACGATGATGTCATGTTTGATAGAAACATGGTTACACCTGGATATTTGTTTTTTTATAATGTATGATTAGTTTTAATGGCCTGTTTATGTGTGTGTGTGGTGGTGTGTTGTGTTCGCAGCGCTTCAGCATGGAGGGACTGTCCAACATCCTGCAGACGGGCATCAGACAGACATTTGGAAGCACAGGGAATGACAAACAGGTATGGTTCAATGTTCTGAAAAGGGATCAAGTGGGAATTTGAATCAATCAATCCCCAGCTTCTGCAGCTACGTGTCCAATGTGTCCTTGGGCAAGACACCCAACTCCAAGTTGCTCCCACTGCTTTGTCAGTGGTGTATGAATGCGTATTAGATTACTTACTTGTGATGGACACTTTACATAGAAACCTCTACCATCAGTGTGTGAATGTGTATGTGTGAACGCGGTGTAAAAGTGCTTTGAGTAGTCAGAAGACTAGAAAAGCACTAAGCTAAAGTCTATTTATCATTTACTTAATGTGGTGAATAAAAAAATGCTTTAAAAGATACTTAATAAACTCATACCTTTATAGAGTTACGTTTTTCATAATATATAGTTTAATAAGCATGTATCATATGTACAGTTACTGCCAAAGGCAAACTGCAGGTACTACATTTTTGGGGCTTATTTGAATAACTTGTGAAGCTGAATATTATTATTATTCAGCCCCAGATAGCCTAGTGGTTATGTTGTGCTCCCCATGTATCCCATTTATTTCATGTCACTCTTCAGCTGTCTTAGCAAATGAAGGCAATACAGCTCAAACAACGTTATTATTTGAACTTCAATTGATAAGGTAGTTACAGCATATGATGAGCAAATGATAAAAAAAATTGGTACTTGACATTTCAATCTAAACTTCTCCCTTCCTTCAGATTCTTTAAACATGCACAGATCAATAAGTAGAGTGGTGAAATAAAGACAGAGAGACTGAGTGTAATGACTGTGTCATTTAAATTAATTCAATATCACTTACATGCCTTCAAACAGTTTCTGTGGCTCGTCAAACATTGTAAGTGGCTGCACTGTTTTTAGTTCTGTCGCTGCCTCAATGCAACAGACGGTGGAGTCACACAAAGACGAGAGCAGCCTGCTGTAGGTAATCTCTGTTAACAAAGTCTGCAATGTGCTAAGATACACTGTGAGAAATACAAGTGTCTTTTATTCCTATTGTTTATTGGATAAAACATGTTTAAAATACAAAATGAATTCAGCATTTTGTGTTTCTCAGCTGATAGTTAAATCTAGAAGCTCCAGTTTTTTCAGGGATTACTGGACGTAAACAAACATTTTGCAGCATCAAAAGCATTTTGGGTTTATTTAAAGCAGTGCATTAAAACATTGGGCACTATGTATTGGAGGATAAGTGAAATCCAGTCCTGTGGCTGTGTTCCAATACTCATACTTCTGTTATTTACTTTGCCAGGGAAAGATTTAGTATGTTACATCTAAGTCAAATAGTACGTGAAAAGTACCAGGATGTAGCTACAACTAAATCTCATTACATTTTTGCAAAATGTAAACAACACAGTTTAATCGAATCTAATCCACAATCCTCTGTGGAGCAAAATATTTTTCACAGAATGAGCTGCTTCTCTGGCGAGATCATCCAAGTGTATTTTGAATCTGCATGGCCTTTTTTTTTTACAACGTTCAGTTTTCTTTTTTATACTTTGGTCTGCAGAGGACTTAAATTCAAGATGGCTAAAATCGGAAGAACATAAGGACAAAAGAAGCCCCAATTCAACTGTATGAATAACTCATGAAAATGAATACTTTGTGAGGGCAGGTGTAATATATGCTGTAGGGGAATGAGAAAGTGAGATTGATTTGCAGGGATGGATTGTGTATAACGTTCTCAATCTGTGTTCAAGGTTTCATTCTTAGTGAAGACTGAGTGTCTGTTAGCTTTTTCACTAATTATTAAGATTTAGGAAAATGTATTCATTATGCACTTTTACAGCTGAGAGCTTGCTGAGAGGACTGATACTGTATCACTCTCATGTTTGTATGGTATACCAGCAGATGAATGGTAACCAGCAGGTTAGCTTAGCTTAGCATTGAGACCAGAAAAAGGGGGACTGAGCATGGCACTTAGCTACAAAGACACTTTTGTGCAAGTGTAAGAAGTTGTAAGGGCAGGTCAGAAATGGGATTTATATTATATGCTTAAAAAAATCAGGAAATAAATTAGAGACAACAGGCAGTTTAAGCTAGCTGTTTCCCCCTGCTTCCAGACTTACATGTAAGCTAAGCTAACAGGCACTGGTTTCACATTAACCTGACAGAGAGATGTATGACTGCTTTTAGTCTTTCACTTTATTCTTGAAGAAAAGCAGACAAGTGTAATTCCTTTGTTTTTTACTTCACATGTGACTCCTTGTGTTGACACTAGTGTTTGAAGCTTCTTCTCATTGTGTAGCATAAATAAATAAATCCAATTTCATCACATATCTGCACTGTTTGACTTGTAAATGACCCAGTCTGGTATTTAACCCTCTGCACCTTGACTCTGTTTTCAGTATCTGAACACAGTTATTCCTTTTGAGAAGAAAGCCACCCCTCCATCTGTCGACGACCTGCAGATGCTCACAAAAAGTAAGTATGCATTATAGAATTTTTATTTCAAAGGCATAAAAATGGAAATCTTCAGAGCTGATACTTTTTTTCCCCCTTTCTTAGTTCTTTTTGCAATGAAGGAGGACAGTGAGAAGGTGCCTACACTGCTAACTGACTACATATTAAAAGGTAAAAACACGGCTGCCTCCACCTGAACAAAACTCTTAAAACTCCTCGATTATGATGACTTTTAAAAAAGCCCTGGACAAGACAAGAAACTAAAGAAGCAGATTTGACCTTTCACTTTGTCTGCTATGACTATAAGTATGTGTTCTTTGTTCCAGCATTTGGCTGATTGATTGGCTTATGCTTTCTATTCTTCTCTTGGTACCATTTTTAGACAACAGCAATTTTTCCTGTTTCCTGTTGTCATGTTCAGGGTGATATGCTTCACTGTTGAGTGGTACATTGGTGAAAGTGAAAGTTAGACAAGCTCCTCACATCATCCCGTACCTAATGAACTATTTTATGCCTCATACATGAAACATCAAAATAACTCATATTATCCTGTAGATATTTAACATAACTCTCCTTTGTTTCTCCTCTACAGTCTTGTGTCCTACCTAAAGCTCCACCAGGCCGGGGGGCCACAGTGTGACGGAGAACCCTCCCTCCCTCCCTCTCTCCATCCCCCCCCCCCCCCCCCGCCTCAGGGCCGAGCTGCATGACCTCCCTTCTTTTACCATTATTGACCATGGATCCTCACCATCGACATTATTGTATTCACCTCAACTATGACTACTGCCTTCCGCTGAGCTCACCTGTTTCCCCCTCCCCTGCACATTACGCTCAGGCCACATGCAAAATGGCCACTGCTCAATAGATAAAAATAAGCGGGACGGCCAATCCTGCTCTAAAGGACTTCACTAATGGAGCATGACATGCTACTAATGATCCTAACACTACTCCAGCACAGGGATACGACTTTCTCATTGCTTTCTTTTTCTTAATTTCTTTACTTTCTCTTTGTTTTTCTCTGACTGAACTTACAATGTTGCCAAGTTTGAACACATATTTTTTTGGACTGACGTCTTGACCACTGGGTTCTGTTCATTTGTTATTCTTCAAAGACTACACTGTTAAAGAAATGAAATGCCATACTGGATCCACAAGTGATCCTTTCCCTGTATTGTGTCCGATTCATTTGAATACAAAAGCCATGCACCTTTTTCTGCCAACTTAGTACTGTAGCTCCATGGGAACGAGAGGAGACACACGAGTATTACGGGTGCAGTGCAGTGCATTACACAGCTTTTCTTTTTTCTTTCTTTTTTTGTGTCTCTCTAAAAATCCAGTGCTCTTTTTGACTTTTTTGAAATTTATTTTTCATTTGTTACCTGGATATTTGATATAAACTGTGTTGCTGATTTTCTACTTTTGATTTACTGTGTCATCAGAGTGCAGGTTTGTGTGTCAGTCACCCTGTTCAGCCATGTGGAGGTGTTTCACTGAGTGTTCCTTTGGATATATCGTCCCCCCTGATGAGATGAGCTCATTTCAAAAAAAGGCGTGCATATTAGCATATTTATGATTCCTTTGCGCCATGTAGGTGAATGTGACATCGCTAATCGCAAATTCTAATAAACATTAAATAAACATTCAATCCTGAACTCGAGTGTTGCTTTATTTTGACCTTTATCTCCTGAGTTTAAAGGAGACATCTGTAAGATACCAACAGAATGAAATGATAAAATGAGCTTACTATATGATCAGACATTAAAGAAACATGCTATGTTGAAGTGCTGGCTTCTCTGACAACAATGCAGCAGCCAGTATGTCCTCCTTCTAACTTTAGATTCTGCTAATGAATGTGCTGGATTTGTTTGGACCAGAGAAGGTAGTCAGGTATAAGGCCCCCTGACACAACTGTTGTTGACTCCCCTCAGTTTTCCAGGCAAACAGCAAACCAACAGGTGTTGCAGTGATGGAGGCTCCATGAGCAGAAACTTGGTAAAACTTGGGTAAATATTGGAAATGCTTATGACAAAATGGAGAGAGGTTAGAACACAGAAAGGTTTACAGACCCATGCAGAGCTGGATAAACACTTGAAGTTTCAGTGTCCACCACATGGTGACCTGCATGAGCATGGATTATAAGGAGGAGAGGACGGAGGGAGACTGCTCTCTCTTGTGAGTTCAATTTGGGCTGCAGTACCCATTTTAAACACAAGGTGTCAGAGTTACATAAGTGCTCCTTTAACATTATCATTGCTCAGAAGCTGTAAAAGCAGCTTCATACAGAGATGTGATGCAGTTAACTGGATTTGGTGAAAACATTTGTTTTGTTGTAATACTTGTTTGACTCCCTATTACCCCAAAAACTCACAAAACCTTAAGATTGATGATAATTTCTGTCTTAGATGGTTATAAAAAATAATAAATATTGCTGCCAGGGCAGTTTCCCAAACACTGCTGAGTTCCCTTGAGCAAGGCACTGTACCCCCAACAGCTCGGCTGCGCTCCCTGTGTAGCCGTGTGTAGCAGCCCCACTCTGACATCTCTCCACTAATGCATGTCCACACGTCCTGTTTGTACATGTGTGTGATTTCAGGCCTATGTGTGAGAAGCATGTCTCTAAAATAACAGAAAAGTAAACCACAATTTCCCTCAGAGATTAATAAGTATATAAAAAAAATACTTTTACATTTTCAAGAGGGTGTGATAGTCTAATAAATGTAATGTTGACTTATGATGATATTATGTAGTGATGGATTAATAAGATAATAGTTTGTCTTTTAGTATATGTCATATAAATGATCTTTTCGCATACATTTATTTAAGGTCTATTCACTGCAGTTTGCAACAAACTGTAAATATAACTGCACTGGGATCTGTTTTGAATAAGACCTCTGGCTCTTTAAAAGTTTTTTTTTTTAATTCACTCTATATATATTTCATCTCTCCTTTGTTGAATAGACAAGAAAAGAAAAAGAAAAAGAAGTTCTTGACTGGACTCTTCCTCTGTGTCTCACTTCTTTTCCAAAAAGTGGGAATCTGCTGCCCTCTGGTGGTTGACTTAAATCTAACGAATATCTGGGGAAAAAAAACTTACAAAAACTTACATTTTTGTATTTGTAAAGTGTAAGACCTGAGACATCCAGCATTTCAAATTAATAGTTGAGATATATAGGAGAGTAACTTTAGAAAAATAAAATGTTTTAATTCTCATTTTATTTAAATTAAATTCCCAATAATGAAGTCATAATTATGTAGAAAATCTGTCATGAACATGAAAGTCTTTTGAGTAATCGTTTAACAGGAGAAATGTTTCGTCATATCACTGGACTGGCACTGCATTTTAATGTCTGATTATACAACAGTTAGATCCAAACGAGTATTCTGTAGAGTAAGCCTACAACATCACTGAGACTTTTCACAATGCGTATCACTCCGCCTCAGCCAGGTGTTGTAATTACTTTAAGTAAAGACAACAGCAGACATACTTTGTACTGATTAATCCAGCTGGTTGTCTACTTCTGAATCATAAAACAGACGCAGATGTTACTCAGTGCACGATAAATTGAAACATACAAACAAACAAAGTGGCAAGGTTGATCTAGAATGTTTGAGTTGCAAAAAGTCAGTTTCAGTGAAGATGTGGTCTGGTGGCGCAAAAAATTAGAGACGGTCCGACTGTTTCCTTCTCTCTGCTGTTTTTAGATCTGATGTATGAAAGCAATTTCATTCTCAAGTTCAAGAAGAAGTACTGAATATCAGCACTGCTGTGATTATCTTCAGCACTTTGGCTGCAGCCTTGTGTCTAATACTGAATCATAGCAGTGCCCTCCTGTGTGATTTTGCTTATTTAACATTAACTTAATTAACACTCTATATATGAAGGCATTTCACAAACTTCAGTCACACAACTCTAGTTGGTTAAGAACAACACCAAAACATAGTTTCTATTTTGAATCTAGGCCCACACCTCATCATTCCTCTCATTTGTTTATATTGAGGAATTAGAGGGAGTGATGAGATCATATCTTGAAACAACCATTTGCAGCCTGCAGGTGGATGCTGATGTGATGGTGATGCTGAAAGCAAGAGTGCAGTTTTGGTGCAGGCAGGGCAGAACTGGCAACGACAGAGCAGAGAGACTAGAACTCTTAAGAGCTCCAATAAGGAAGCTGTGTTGTCAGGAAACTGTGGAGAATGACACAGGTCAGTGGGAAATCAGTGTATGACTTCATTTATGGTGAAAGCTATCCTGCAGAATTATATGAAAGCTTTATTTTAAAAAATAGCAGGGAAATCAGGAGGCATTTCTTACGCTGGAAAAACGCTTTTTGACAAGAACAGAGAGAAAAAATGGTCATGTTTTAAACCTAATGTGTAAAAATAACACAAACACAACTTACAATTTCTCTTTTATTTGAAAATATTCATACAAATAATTTTCCATGAACACAAATATGGAGGATAAACTGCACATTAATGTCCACAGTTACGTCCTATACTGTAACACGCGCAGGAGTTCGGCCACCAGTTTGTCCAAAGTGGTTTTACAACCCATCATAGTTTATAACTCACAGACAGCGAGTAAGAAACATCGGCTACGTATAACATCTGCTCCTGTGCTCTTAAACATGACTGTAGAAAAATAAAGGCTTGTCTTGAATACATTTGAATGTTCATAATGTACACGTTTTCAAACAGATGCTCTATGAGCTGTAAAGACTTGAGCTCGTCATCACTTTAACTTCACTCGTCCTGCTCTGTTGTATTTAAAACATCTCAACACAACAACACGGCTTCAAGATAAAACTACCCCCGTCTCGTTGTCTGTCAGGTTTGTGTGTTTTCTTTGAGGAATAATCTGCATACAATGCTCTTATGTTTCCTGTCAATATCAACACATTTCTCAGATTTCTTTGTTGTTATTCTGACTTTCTGTGCATAATTTAAAAAATGCAAAACATTAGACATAATGCTCCAGTGTAACGACATTACAGCAGGATAGATAGCATGATCACTTACAATAAATACATTTTCAAATTCTATTTTCCAAATCCAAATTTTACATAGCAGACGTGTGTGAACAGAAAGAAGAAATACACAATCAAAAATTGATTTCCCTTTTCCCTTTACATTTCTTTATGTATAGAGCAGTATATAACGTCAGTGCTGCTCTGATTTTTAAAGTTCTAAACATCATGGCAGTGTAGTATATGAATTATTTTGTTTAAATAAGCCAAGATATTTACTTTTAGAGTGAAAAAATATTTTGAGCCTAAGTACAAAATGAATCTGTTCAATCGTATTGAGCTGACATTGATGTTTTACCATTTCCTGTATGTTGTTTTAAACTTGCATTCATAGACTGTATATAAGAAAAGGGGTGTGGCCTCTTGATGTCCAACACAGACTGTATTAAAAGATGAATGACATGGAGCACCAGTAGTGTAATGCACGCGCCCCATTTACAGAGTTCTCTGGTCCTCCAAGAGGGCAGCCTGGGTTCAAATCTGACCTGTGACTACTTTCCTGCATGTCATTGCCCACTCTGTCTCTGTCTCTCTCTCTCCCGGACTCTATCCACTGTCCTGTCTCTAAATAAAGGCTTACAATCCCACAAAACAAACAATAAAAAAAAAGATATATATATGAACGACATGACAGCTCCCCAAAAGTGAAGGCAGAACATTTGAAGCCCACTATGTTGACTGGCTGCAGTACGGGTCATAAGCTCCGCCTCCTCCATGTTAACAGATGGGTCAAACTTTAAAATCAAAATACACGTCTTAAACTGTTTTTCTGGAACATCTAAGAAGTTTACTTTTTAAGGGGATTTGACACAGAGGAACAAAGTCTTGTCCTGTACATTTGTCAGAAGTGTTGATAAATGTTTTTTACATAAATCTGATCCTGATTTCTTTCAACAGTCAAGAATCTCATTTATTGAGAATATTTGCTGTGGGAAATATAAAACAAACTGTTTCTGCAGAGTGTTGTTGATCTCCTCCTGTGATGCACAGACATTAAGCACACATACAGTAAAGTAATGGTCTCTCTTTTTGTCTTGTTTGCTTTTGTAGGTTTTAAAGAGGCAACAATATGAAGTTGAGTCTGTTTTTTAATAACCAGCTAAAAACTCTGACAGGGGTTTAAAAATATGCACCAACATTTCCAGGGTTTGCTTCAGACTGTGGCCTCTTTGATATTACCAAGTTTCTATCATTCCAACCCTGAAAAATGTTTTATTCAGTACTTGAAATAAAAGACACTCTGCGTTGAGGAAACACTGAACGGTCATTTTTTTTAAGTTCATTTTTTTGTAAAGGCTGATTTTGGCAGGCGAAAATGAGCACTCTAGTTACAAGAACAGTTATTTTAAATTACAACTTGACCATGAAACCCTAAAAGTCAGCATGTCCCAGCTCCTCTCCTCTCTGCAGCTCCAGCCTCTCGGTCACTTCTGTCTCCATGGAAACCAAGATAGAGATGGAGAACAACTCTAGATCTCTGTGGCTACATCCACTTTTTAAATACAGTCTATGAAATACTCAGGGGAAGCTGTGTATCTCATAATCATAATAGAAAATGGTTGAAGAGCAATACCAAGGCATATTAAAAACACAGCAACTTGAGAGTTGTTCAGTTTTTCAGGGTCCTGTTAATATTTCTGGTCAATGTCAATCAAAAGTGGAACATATCATGTTTACTACTAAAATAATAAAGCGTGACTTCCTGTATATCTTTGGTTCAGTATCCAGTGTCGCAGTTAAAACATAAAAACGTATTAATATGTCCCATACAGGCTTCTGTACGGAGCAAAATTAACCCAAAAATAAATATCCTATTTACAATTTCTATTCTGCAGGCAACTTAAAAATTATAACAACTCAAGTGCGGACTTAGCAAAGTCACCAAACTGCAACTCTGAATAGTGCTCAATATCATAAGAAGCTTTCGCTAATCTGTGAGTCTAAGAGCATTTTATAAAACTGAACCACTGACAGAAGTAAAGCCAAGAAAAGGATTAGGATACTTGATCATATGTATATTGTAGTCTTATCTTTCTCTCCACAAGTCTGCTGCAGAAAAACACTCAGTAATAGGTTTCACTAAAAAACCAGGCCTCACTCGTTTCCTTCTGAGCTACATGTTCTGCTCTGAACAGTACTGAAACAATGTGCTTTACATTGAACTCTTTAAGGTAGTTCTTATTAAAGTAAATATGATGGCTGGAGAACATCAATCTGTCTATTCATCTGTGGGTCTTACAGATGTTTGAAAGCCTCCAAATGATCATCCATTTTGAATTAGTATGGCAGGAAGAAATATAGAATACAGCGTTTAAAAGATACGTAATAAAAAAAAACATTAGAAATGCTTTGATAAAGTAGAAAAAGAGGGTAAATGTATGAAAACTATATCCATACATAGTTTGTAATGTATACAGTGCATACAGAATATAAAAGGCTTGAGTATACTTGAAGTAAGGAAACAGTCTGTGTCTGTGGTCTTGCCATGAAAGCGTCAATAAAGTGATTTTTTGTTTTTACTGTAATTTTGCTAAATAGAAGTTGAAGCGTTCCCTTTACAAAAAAAATCAGAAGACCATATTTGATGTCTTAAAGGGAAGTACTTGTCTGTATTTTGCGTTAGACAAGAGATCCGGCTTGGTTCTGTGCAGGCACCATGATGGGCACCCCTCCCATGCGGGCGATGTTGGAGGCGGTGACGGTGGAGGTGGGCAGCGGCGGGGGTATAGGCGTGGTCTGTAGCTGCAGCTGAGGCTGGCTGTAGGTCAGTGGCAGCGCCTGAGCCTGAGGCAGCTGTGCGTAGCGCTCCGGTCTGGGCAGAGAGCTCCCATTGGTGGTGGCCTCGGAGGGGACGGGCTGATCGCGGGGCAGGGTGGTGTTGTTGTTGTAGCTGTAGTGGGTGGGGGTGGAGGCTCCATGGTGACGAGACGGCCTGTAGCCGGCCGTGCTGCCCGTGGCGGTGATGATGGAGGCGGTATCGGACGGGGGGCGCTGCGGGTACTGCTGCAGGTGGTGGTGGTTGTTGTGGTGGTGGTGGGGGGGCTCTTTGTGGTGGGGGCTGGAGGCGATGGAGGACAAGGTGCCGTTCTTTGAGATGATGTCGGAGCCCATGCCGCTCTTTGCCCATGACACACGCTTCGGGGCTTGAGCGTCCTCCCTGCAGGACAAACAAAGACTTTAGAGTGTCCACTTGATCCATCAGAAGACCGCTAATACATTCAGGACCTAAGGGGTACTAAAACCCTCTTTTGTAGTCGTGCTATTAATCACAATATATTTTATCATTGATATATATCCTGCAGCTGTTTCCTTTGAGATGGACAATGTGTCTCTAGCTCCTTCTGTTGTACAGAAATGAAGCCAAAGTACCCCCGCAATGGATGCTGACACATTGTGCGGCTGATTTAACTCGGAACCAAGACAAGCGTAGAGAGGATGACTGGTGGATCTGCGGAATTGATGTCACGCCCTTTTCCCCTAACTGAAGGTCACGTTTAAGTTATAGAAAAAATGTCAGATCCCTCAGGTTGGTAAAGTCCACAGCAGAACAGATTGTTGTGTTTGTTGAAGAAGACACTCAATAAAGTTTTTAAACTTATCATTACTTTGTTAAGTTTTCTCGCTTTTTCTTTCGCATTTCCTCCTCTACTCTACTCTACAGGAGCCCATTTGTCAACAGAGCTGTCAATCATGATACTACATCTGGTCTTTTTTCATTTCAAAGAACTAATTCAAACAAAACTACTCAGAAAAATTAACACTTGGACATAAATCAGCATTATACAAACTATCAAAAACTACCACTACAGAATCTGAATTTATTTGATGTGTATTTTCACTTCATAGATTGACCCATGTCCCATCTGTTAACCTGGAGAAGGCTGGGTTTATGAACTATACTGCAATCAGTCCGCAGGGGGGGCTCTAAATATTTTTGGCTTCAATCAACTTCAACATCACTTGAAGTTGAGAGAATATCTGCTAATTTGGCAACACCCATTTGCCCATATAAGAAACAATGACATCATTTTGTTATCCCTAATTTATTTGAGTGGTACACACACTGCAGGAATACATTCTGTGATAGTCCATTGGACCATATGGCAACTGATATGAACTCACTTGATCTCGTTGGCCATGTCGTCCTCGTTGTCTCTGCGCCTCTTCATCAGGAAGAAGAACCAGCCGAGGAGGAGGAGGAAGATGATACCAGCTATTGAGCCCACTACAGCCCCAACAATCATCCCAACATTGTTGGCTACAGGAAGCAACATGGGACAAAATATCATCACGTACATGGAAGGACAAATTAGCCAAATGATGTACATATATTTCCCTCAATCATTTTTCTGTTACACAAATGTCTTCAATGAGTTTGTCATTTCTTAAAACCTGCAAACAATCTTCACAACAAACAACCTCATTCACTAAGTGTAAGCATACAAAGTTTTATTGTGCTGCTGTGTGTTACGTACAGGAAGTGATGTCCAGGTTAATGAAGCAGCTCTCTGACCCGGCTGAGTTGCTGGCCGTGCACACATATTTCCCTGACATGTTGCTACTCAGGTTGCTCAACCTCAGTGTGCCCATCTTCTCATCTGAAACAGCATCAAATACAGAGGAATAAGGTCACGCATCATGTATACACTCCACTCAATGAGTATTAACCAGAGCCTGTATAAAAACTGAATGTAGTCTCAGTGACAGTGAAAAGGCGTTATAAAGCCAGGTGATGGTGGACACAATATCAAGAAGCAAGAGAGGCAGGCCTAATTAATATCTTGGTTACTAAAAGACGCCAATCTCTGGTCTAGCTTGTCATCAGTATGGCATATTTCAAACAAAGAAAACAACACAACCAAAGCCAACAGTTTAAGTTCAGACCAAAAGTGTTTTTTTGACAGACTGTATAAGTTTATTTCAGCTGTATAATGGGAATTTGCAGCTTTTCTTTTGCAACTACGCATTGGCTTCATTTTTTCAGCCCTGGATGTTGCTTCTTGGTATTTAGACACAGATGAACATATACGTATATAAGTGAAAAATTCAGATGCTAATTCATCCCTTATTGTTATGATTGAGGACTTTAGGCAGGGAAAAAAACACAGTGTATATTTTTTGTTAATGACAGAAAATACTTTCAATTTCAAAACACTAATTTCAAATTAATCAGTTTATTCTCAACAACTGCAGCTGGAATATACACCTTTCAACATATTTCTACATTGAAGATACTAGATCAAAACAGAGCCTTTAAATCTCATACATGACTATCACAGATATATTCATATTCCCATATATGTTTACCAATAACCTTTAAGCCATATAGCATGCCTCGTTTACTGTATAGTCCTCAAAGGGGGCGGCCCAGGGTTCTCCAGCAGCAAGAGATAGGACATAAATCTGACCTCTAAGTTAACAATAGTGATTGGTTAGTGTGCAGGCTCCACTCACTGAGCATGGGAGAGAAGAAGACCTCTGAGGTGGGACTGGTTTTCCTCCATTTGTACAAAGGAATTGGCTTCCCAGAGCTGGAGTTACAGGTCAGAGTCACGTTTCCCTTCAGCACCGCCTTCCCTGACATAGAGCACTTGGGAACAGCAGGAGGCACTGAGAGAAAAAGATGTTTGTTACATTCTAATATACAGACAAACAGTGCAGTACATTTCTGTATAAGTCCTAGAAACAAGTCTTTCTCACCCTTCACATCCAGAGTGAGTTCGACAGGGGGGAAAGGATTATCAGGGACGATGACCTGGCAGAGGTAGCGTCCTGAGTCGGACTCCTGTGTGTTGTTGATGTACAGCGACACATCACGTGATGGCATGTTGGCTGTAAAACCAACACGGCCTCTAAACTGTGCGCTGCCCACGCTGATGGAGTCTTTGGTGTAGGAGATGATCTGGAAGAGTTAGAGAGTGAACCTCAGAAACATATAGGAAGTGAATGATGCCAGAGAGCAAAATAAGGAACCAGTTTACTGACATCCATGACGATATGATTGCGTGCTGCAGATATTTCAGATCAGAGAGTCAGATAGATTTTCACTCCTTACATCTATTGCACATAAAATAATAATTATTTTGAATCTGTCAAACATTTGGAGAATGCATGACAGAGTCCACTACATGCAACATAACTTCTACTATACTGATCAAATCTACTGAGAGAAAGTAATCCTCTTTGTGGCTCTTTTTCTTTAACCTCGGGTTAAAAAATCCTTGTTACCAGTTTAACGATGGACTTACTAAAGGCAAAATCTCTTCAGGGAGAAAAAAAACATTACAATGGATTTGATTTTACATTCTCTATTTGAATATTTGAATAGTTAAAATAGAACACAGTCAATAAGTGACTCACTGAAGAAAATAAAAGGAACAGGGAAAACTTGACTAAACTCTACTGTGTTAAACCCAACACCAGAAAAATACAGCATACACACAACATCCTCAGATAAACAGAAATACATATTACAGTTAGAAGAGGCTTCATGGCGTGATCGAGCAAAACAAGTCAGTGGAATTGGATGAGGAGAAATAATGCCAGTTGGAGGCAAAAAACGAAGGCAGGAGTGTTCCATTGTCCCTGTGTCCTGTGTATGATGGGCAGTAAATAGTAAATGGTAAATGGACTTGAGCTTATGTAGAAGTTTTCTAGTCTTCCGACTACTCAAAGTGCAAAGTCCCATTCACACCCTGATGGTAGTGGTCGCTATGTAGTATGTAGCTATGTAGTATCATCCATCAGAAGTAACTTATCCTATTCAAGTGTTTTGCCAAAGGACACATTGGACATGTTTCCCAGCTGGGCATCGAACCATCGACCATCTGCCACTTTTGACCTCAGTGATGGGTTGGCTCTTCTTGTTGCCAATCTAGTTTCATGTTTGGGTTGAGGGGGGAAAAAAAGAATCGTTCCAAGGACAGAACCTTGTGAATGAAGGTCTGATCGATCATTTCTGATGCATTCCAGGAAGTCAGGAAATGAAAACTCTGAATGGATTTCATGACACAGTGTCAAACTGAATTGTGGATCAAGTTGAACTTTTTGATCTAGAAAAGATTTTTAGCTGCACTTGCACACAGGTATCTGTTTAAAATGATACGTAAATGGCATCAGATTACCAGGGACTGGAGCCCGGATGTCATAAGTGTGTTTGCTCTGAACATTTTTTTCCTGCATACTCCAAATCCTGCAGATACGTACATCATATGTCCTATAAACTCAGACTATCAATGTACTACAAAAATACAAACCAGAACACTTCCCATATCAAAGTCCAGTCTCACATCTGTATCCATGTAATGGTCCTTAGTTAAAAATCTAATGAACCTTATTTACTTAATGTTACAAAAGCTGTAACCTTTGTAAGTAATTAACCTAACATACTTGTCCAATTTAAAGCTTTTTGGGGCTATTTAACTGCCTCACATGACTTCAAAAACAGAAGGAAAAACTATACAATAGACAATACATTGTCTATAAATGACACTATAAATTTTTCTAAAGAGTCATGTAATGAGGCATAGGGCCACTGAACAGCTGTCTGATTTGTCAGTTTGGACTGAGAACGAACAGGAAGTGACTGAGGAGAAGTCTGACTCTTCAATGATTGAACACATCCTGTAGAATAGACTTCAGAAAGTAATTTAAGTTAGAAAAAACACTCAGACAGTTTTTCTTTCCTTTAAAAAAAGTAGTTAGTTTGTCAGGAAAGATTACGTCAAATTAGCTGCTGGACTGAATACCAAGTGACGATGTGTCTGTGCATTCCTGTAACACACACACACACACACACACACACACACACACACACACACACACACACACACACACACACACACACACACACACACACACACACACACACACACACACACACACACACACAGCTCTGCAGAGAGTGTTGGATCTTGGTGTGTGTTTGAGGCAGTGGCAGTTTGTTCTCATTATTCATCTTTTTTGGCTACAAATGACAGTACAGCACAGTGACGCACCGGATGGCAAAAAAAACCCCTTGACTTTTAATCAACGGTGTCTTTCCCAGCTCTCTGCGTTCTCTTTTCCTGTTTTCTGTTTGATTGTGTTCCTCTTTTAGGTCGTCCATCTGTACAGCTCAATAATCTGAGCTGAACAGATACGTAAACTGAGTCATGACCAGGTTTCTAGATAAAGTGTAAAAAAACCCCCCAAAAAACCCAGAGAGCTTTACAGAGCTGGGCTTTTTACGCACAAACCCCTCAGCTTCATTTCACATTTTACCACAAATCATCTAATCAGGATAAATGTTGGGTTTTTTCCTATGTTGCATCAAAACACACTGTGAAGGAATGAGAAAACAAAAATGGAAATAGGTGTATAATAAAAAAAGGAATCCTGTTACATGGCACCTCCTTGACTCCGTACATTACATCATTCTATGCTAAGTGTGTATCAGAGCAGTGCAGAAATAAGACAGTGCTTGTATGAAAAGCTTTAAGCCTTTTTTGTCTTGGATTATTTTCTCAGGGTTTACAAAAGTAGAGATTAACAGTATAAAATCAGACAAACACCCTTTGAAGCTGTAATCCCAGATATCATACCCACAGTAGGATCAGTACAGAAAGTTCATGGCTCCACTGTAGATACTGTTTGTAAACTGGAACAAGATGTTAATAACTTCATTTTTTTTTCTACTGGCTATGCAGTCTCCCAGATTTTTCTTACCAGCTGTGTGTTGTCGGTGACAAAGTTCCAGAGGATGGTGTTGGTGCTCAGGTCTCCACTCGACACAGGAATGTAGGACGCCCTCAGCACCACCATCTGACCTTTGATCACATCCATACTGGTCTCAGGCATTGTGATCTGAGCCCATACGCCTACACAAAGGAAGAAGAAGAAGAGAAAGACAATGTATGAGCATTCTGCACAACTTGATGAAAAGTCGACTGATTCTGAATCTAATGACAGAGTTTTGTAAACCCGAGTCTGAGTGTCAGGTTTCCAATGTTAAAAACAATGCTGTCATGTTTAGCATACTTAGAATCTGGAGAGATATTACTAAACACATTGGCTGGAGAGGTTTCTCATCAGCATTACAACCTCTGACTCAAAATAAAGCCTTCTCTCCAGGTATAGGGAAAAGTATTTTCAATGACTGGTATTCAAAGGGTCTAAGATTTGTGGCTGATTTATTTCAAAATGGTGATTTTATGTCATTCAATCAACTCAAGACCAAATACAGAATACCAAATAGTCACTTCTTTGGTTTTCTCCAAGTTAGACATTTTGTCCAATCAGATCTGATTTTCCCCACTGATCAACCATTGTTGAGCTCAATTGAAAGTTTTCTTCTCAATTTTAGTTTAAATGCGCTCAACGACAGAAAAATAATTTCCCTTTTTTATGACAAATTACATCCTATTAATTGTGATAGGGTTGAGAGAACTAGGGAATTATGGGAAAGGGACTTGGAGGTTGAACTTAGTGCAGAGGCGTGGTCAGGTACCTTTGTTTCAGCTAGAAAAATCTTAACATGTAATCGACTCAAAGAGAGCCAATACAGAATATTACATAGACTTCAGCGAACACCACAATTTTTAAACAAGATTAGTCCTCAGATCTCCGCCCTCTGTGTGAAGTGTAAAAAAGAAGTAGGAACTTACTATCACTGTGTATGGCAATGTCCCTTAATATCCAGGTATTGGAAAAATGTTGCCCAGGAGCTTGGCTTAATTTTTCACAGAACAATAAAACTAGAGCCAGCATTGTTTCTCCTGAACTTACCTACGCAACAGTTTTCTCTATCAACAGGACAGCTCGTTCTAATGGGTAAACTTCTGCTCCTAGCGAGGAGATGTATTCTGTTTCAGTGGATTCAGGAGAAGCCTCCATCAGTCACGCAGTGGTACAGAGAAACATTTAAGGTTCTTCCTATGGAACACCTCAGTGCTAAATTAAAGGGCAATAACAACTTATTTTATAATATTTGGCAACCCTTCATAGATTATCTTCCCACTGATCTGGTTGGCTTATTGCAGAAAGGGTGCCCACACTTTATCTTCAAAAATACATCATAGTCATGTTTTTTCCCTTTGACATGTAGTTTAGGTAGATAAGATTGTATCTGATATGATATATGTTATTACAACCCATGTATGTTATTATTATTATTTTTTTAAATATATATATATATTTTTTTTTTATTCAGTAATTTGGTTACATCTGTGCTGTCTTGTTCTGTGCTTGTTATGTTAAAAAATGAATAAAATATATATAAAAAAATAAAATACAGAATTGAATGTAGTGCGCAACTATGGCCAGAGGGGGGCAGCAGAGAATAAAACACATCGACGCTCACAGGCTGACTCTGCCTCCGTCATGTTTACTGTAAATAAAGGTTTGACTTTCTCATTTGGTGGGAAATTATTTCACTCTGCTTGTGAGTCAACAAAAGTGTACACCTTCCCTTTATGATGAATAGGATAAGACTGAGAAAGGAAAAGAGAAAACAAATACAGGAGGAAAAAGAGACACCAAATAAAGATGGTTGTTTCTGTTTGTATTTGATCCATTCTGCTCTTTTCACATACTTCTCGACCTGCTCTTCTCTCTCTCTGAGGATTCACCTCTCAGATAGACAAGATTAATACATCATAGTCAAACCTTTAGATAAGGTGGACCTAAGTTATATTAATTTTGCCGAGCCTAAAGACAATGATGTCTCTTTTTTAATCTAAAGAGCTTTTATGATTAATAAAAAAAAAAAAAAAAAAACACTTTAGAAAACAAAAAAAGAACATTTGATTCTCTGCCTTCGACTTGACCAGATGTCCAAAAGAAAAGGACTGTGACATCCTAAAAGCAAGTTTCTCCATCAGTGACACCTCACATAGCCTCCTCCCTCGTCTTCTCTTGTGCTCCCCCATCTTTAATCTTCCAAACCTCCATTCACCTTCTTATTCCTTTTTAACAAATCCAACATTAAGGAAAAGTGCACCCAGGTCAATTTAAATCAGTGTCACCTGCCGGTTAGTACCAGTTTTACATGTGTGTGCTTTTGTGTTCATCAGAAAGCAGACGATGTAGAGATGTGGCAGGTGTCGGGCACATTCTGAAAAATTGATTAGACATCTGTGTGTGTGTGTGTGTGTGTGTGTGTGTGTGTGTGTGTGTGTATGTGTGTGTGTGTGTGTGTGTGTGTGTGTGTGATTGACACAAGCTTTATGTAAAAATGCAAAGAGACGGAAATGTCACAAATCTTCATCCAAAACGTATCCGAAAGCATGGAGATCAGAGCCACACACATTGACCATGCACTCTGTGTTTAATGACTGTTGTGCAGCAGGGAAAACAAGACTCATCTACTAATTAGTACCCCTGTTTGGTGTCACACTTTTCACTAACAAGAACATCCCTCCATGCACAGGAAGTGATGCAATCCAATGTAAAGCCCAGTCTGAGAGCGTGAAGTGTTTTCTTGTCCGGAATAATCGGAGAAACCTCCTCACTTCCTCTGCTACAGCTCCTCACTACAAAGAACCAAACTCGCTCGTCTGATGTCACGGTACATGACTTTTTGGGTATTGAAGTCCTCAGAATTGAAATAGTTAGCCTCAGGCTTTCTGTCACTTTAGGGCCACTATCTTGCAAAGTGTGCAAGTGCTGCTTCAAAGTCACAAAGAAAACGTGTTTGAGAGAGTTTTGCTTTAAAAAAAAAATCTGTTCTCTCCCCCTAGTAAAAATGGTGAGCAGGTGGGAAATAAGCGATAGAAAGATAGGAACTGGTGTGTGTGTGTGTGTGTGGGGCAATTGTGAGAAACTTTTGTTTGTCTTTTTTGGCGCCCCCTCTGGACGAAATAGTACATCTCAGTGTTTATATTAATCTTGTCCTGTACAGTTGTGATTTATCATTAAAAAACATGTAATATTCCTGATTGTCTGGTTCAATTTTATCGCTGATATGGAGCCATCAGTGTTAACTTCCATCTGTTGAATATTCACCTTAAAGACTCCTTACAGTCGCTTTAAAAAAAAGATATAACTATTTTGATTATTTGAGTTTTTACGTCCACTTCCTGTTATAGTGAAGTGCTTTATTTTCAGAGATTTCTTTTAAATTGTAAGCATACACTATAGATGTAGACAATCATTTTTCAGATTCATGTTAAAGGTTTAGTGTCTATCTGGTTTGTTTGGTGGTTTTAAGTGGAGAAGAGATTGACAGACAATATGCCTAACCTGCTTTAATATCTATTTAACTCTGATTGGAACACAATGCTTTGTTGACGCAGACCTTAGGGGAGTAACTGAAACCATTATGTCGTTAGTAAAATGTTAAATCAAGTGGGAAGAAGGGTCCTTTTCACAAAGACTTCTACATATATCAGACTGCCCCCTGCTGGCCATAGGAAAAATAATTCCGGTACTACACATGACCTCACAAAAGTCCCACTTTTTAAACCAGGCAGCATGTCCATGTCTTATACAGTCTTTGATTTAAACTGTATTTCGGCCTCTTAAGAGCAGGGGAAACAAGCTGAGAACACAAAGACCATTGTTAGCCCTTATAACGTCTTTTCAGAAACCAATGGGTGACTCGAAACAATCAGAGGAAAGTCATCCTGGCTGTATCTTAGAACAGAGGAAGGATAGCTTTGCATCAGTTTTTCCACTTGGGAAGAAATACTTTCCAAAATGTTAAACTATTCCTTTAAGTTTCTTAGTGTGGTCTGAAGGAATAAGGAGAGTGTCTTGTTTCTGATGAGTTCTGCATTAGTATTTCACTTACTCTCTATTTTGTTAAATCAAATCCTGTATTTCATCTCCAGGTGTTTTTTTTGTTCTCTAACGTGCATACATGACTCCAGATAGACACATTTTATTTGGAAAAATGGGCCAAATCTTCATCCCCTCATTAGTGTGGCTGATCACTCTGGCACATTTTTCCCCCTCATAAGAATGTTGCCAAGTGCTGCTTTAAGAAGATTTCCTGACAGAAATCCTCCCCTGACTCAGACGAGGATGCACACCACAGGGGGGGAAAAGATGAATGGATGAATGGAAAGATGGAAAATGGAGGAATGAATAGAAAAAATGAACAAGGGCACGGGGGCTCTTTACTCTTAATTTGGCGGTTGATGCTTAATCTTCCCTCTGTGGCAGGTCTGAGATCAGCTCTGCAGGCTTCATGGAGACTGTCTTTAAATACTCCACGGTGACTGATGGAGGGGCAGATGGAGAGAGAGAGCGTGCAGTGTGAAGAGAAAAGAGAGAATAATGAGGTCTGGATGGCTCTCACTGTAGATAATGGGGGTATTTCACTAAGTCTGATTTAACAAGGTGTTTCATGGCGACATGGACAACCTCTTATTCATTCTGTAGACGAGTGTGCACATGTGAAGGACTTTATGGTGTTTAGATGAGGATATCTGGAAGCATGATAGCAGGCATCAAGCAGGGGTTTCTTAACATGTGTGAACCATGGCACGTTAATAGGATTTTATTTGTTTAAGATGTTACACTATATTAACATTAGCATAAATTCTGCATCAGAAAATGACACACGCTCGTCTGAATATATACAGCTATTTCTTTTACACAGTTTCCATCATGCCAATGGGGTAAAAGGATTTAGAAGCATCTATTTTTCGATGGTTATGCCTGCAAATGGCTAAATATGTTCAAAACATATTAGAGTAGGACAGAGAATAGAAAATACTTGATTGTCTTTTGGATGCAAATGTAGAAATCTGTCTGTGTCTTGCATGTGCGCATATGTGACATATAAGAAGGGGGAGGGGATGTTCAATTGTTTTCATTTGGTTGTTGAGACATGCTGGACACATATAGGCCAAAGTACACGCACAGGCTCAAACAG